GCTCTGTCTCTCTCTCTCTGTCAAAAATAAATAAACATTTTAAAAAAACATTTTTTTTTTTAAAGGGGACTGTTTCAGAGGACAGCCCTGTGTCACCCAAGTAGGCAGGAGACTGGGCACTTGACTACAGAGACTTAGGCAGCCCACACTTTGTAGCCTGGGCTGTGTCTGTAAGCCCAGCAGCCTCGGACACGCTGCCTTGGAAAAAGCCCACGGTGGCGACCTGGCTGGCTGTTTTGTCGGGAAGCGTCAAGGCATACCCGCAGCTTCTGAAAGGAAAGAGACGGGATGGGAGCTTCGGGGTCAGAGGGGCGGTCAGCCACAGCGTCCATGAGGAAATTAAAACGAAAGCTTGGTAGGTCTGCTTTCTCCTGCGTGGCGGGTTATAGGGAGCACCCCCCACCCGGTGCTTGCTTTCCTTCCTTGTACAAGCATTTATGCACGCCTGCTGATCCAAGAGGGGAAGGCTGAGGCGCTATGCCTCCCGTTGCAGAGCTACAGTGCACTCTTAGTTATTAATTAAGATGCTCTTTATTTTTTAAAATTTTTTAAGTTTACTTATTTTGAGAGAAAGCACATGCATGCAGGCAAGGAGGAGCAGAGAGAGAGGAGAGTGAGAATCCCGGGCAGGCTCTGTGCAGTCAGTCAGAGCCCGACTCGGGGCTTGATCTCATGAACTGTGAGATCATGCGTGACCTGAGCCGAAATCAAGGGTCAGCCGCTCAACCGACTGAGCCATCTTAAGGCCCCAACTTAAGATCCTTTTTAGGGGCATCTGGGTGGCTCAGTTGGTTAAGCATCCAGCTTCAGCTCAGGTCACGATCTCGCGGTCGGTGAGTTCGAGCCCCGCATTGGATGCTGTGCCGACAGCTCGGAGCCTGGAGCCTGTTGCAGATTCTGTCTCCCCCTCTCTCCGCCCCTCCCCTACTCATGGTCTGTCTCTCTCTGTCTCAAAAATAAATAAACATTAAAAAACAATTTTTTAAGATCATTTTTAATGGCACAGGACCCTGTGACCTGGGCCACAGCTTGTTCATGTGTAAAATGGGAATATTAATATCAGCGCCTACTTCATGAGATAACACATAAAAGCAGTAAGCCCCGTGGCTGGTACATACAGTAACAGTAAGCGCTCGGTAAATTTAGGTCTCTTTTTGTTGTTGTTCTAATACGTTGCCTCCCACAGTGGAATGCCAGAAGTCATGGCAGAAGGAGAAAAAATTAAGGTCCCAAACGGTGACAGACTCTTGTATCACCAAGAGTTTTGTTTCCTTCCCTCACCAGAACCTCCTCTCCGTGTCCACAGCTGCATTCTCCAGCAGCCTCGTAGCGTGCGCGGAAGACTCCATGGAAGGAAAGAAGAGGGAAGCGTAGTCAGGAAAATAAAGAGGGAACAGGGAGGAGAAAAGAATAAATGGGGATAGCGGCCAGTCAACTCAAAATATTTACTCTGAACGGTCGCCCGTAGGTGCGCACCATCTCCTCCTTTCCTTCAGGTCCTCAATCCAGAGACCAAGAATTTAATAAGGGACCCTTTCCTCAGGCTGATCCCGGTTATTTTTCATGGCTGTGTTTTAGTCCGTTTAGTCAAAGCTGTAATTTTTCAGTGATCATCCTTACTGTTGGACAGAATCTCAAGGTACAACCCCCAGTTTTCTGGCAGGTTCTAAAGTCCTGGTCGGTGGTTCCCCCAAGCGAGCCCAGCACCTCTGTCTGTATTCTACAGGTAGGGGACTTATTTGGACTTTCCCTTGAAGGAGTAGGGGCCATACGATGAGTTTTGGTGGGGGGAGGGGGGTTGTTTTGTTTTTAATTTGCAAAGCTAAGTCACTCTCTCCTTTGATGAGGGATATCAAAGCCATAGCAATATTAAGGTAAAATTTGTATTTCTCGTCTGGTTCCTAGTCATTATTACTTCCTGATTTTGATCAGCTTGTTGTAAAGCTTTCCTTTTTAGGCATAATGAGTGGGAGAATGGGGTGGGAAGAGGCTTTTGCTTGCTTCCATTTTTGTGTTGGCTTTGTCCCAAGTGAGGCAAACTTTGGCAATGTTTGTAATTTGCTCTTGAAAATAGCATATGCTCCAGAACGCAAGATCGGAAGACATTTATTGGAACTCCTGGATTTTTATGTGTGATTCTTAGAATTAACTTCTTTTGCTTTAGGCAAGGAACACATTGTCTTCCTCACCAGAGTAGTTAATATCTCTGCCACGGCCATCCCAGAATCCACACTGGAACCAAAAAGAATATACAGACTATGTAATTATATGTATTTACATATGGCATATTACATGTTTCACTATAGAAGATACATTGGCTTTTTTTTTTTTTTTTTCCATGTCTTCTTAAGCTTCCAAAATCTGTGTTTGGGTTCGGGGAACTAGATAATCACAAAGCTGTATGGATACAGCTAAGAGTGATATTAATATAATTCACCTAACCCTGTGTGAGTGAGCTTATTAGAAAAACTCACATGGGGTGCCTGCCTGGCTCCGTTGGTAGAACGTGTGACTCTTGATCTTGGGGTGGTGAGTTCAAGCCCCACATTGGGCATAGAGCTTACTTAAAAAAAAATAAACAGGGGCACTGAGTAGCTCAGTCAGTTGAGCAGCCATCGCTTGATTGCGGCCCAGGTCACGCATGATCTCATAGTTCATGAGATCAAGCCCCGAGTCAGGCTGTGTGCTGACAGCATGGAGCCTGCCTGGGATTCTCTCTCCCCTCTCTCTCTCTGCTCCTGACCCACTCTCACTCTCTTTCTTCTCTCTCAAACTAAGTAAATAAACTTTAAAAAATTGTTTAAGTAAATATATACATACATTCATATATACACAAAATTTTTTTTTTAAATCTCATAGGACTTCTGGAAAGAAACCATGGTGTTATCGCTTCTCTTTGAATGTTTCTGAGTCCTGCAGCGGACTGACTTATATGGAGAACCTTCTGGCTCATTGCTTAGGAGCAGCACAGAAGTGCCAGTGGGTCTGCCCAGTAGATGCCACCTGAGGTCACCTGTCTGCTGTAAATAAAGGAGAGAGACATCTGTATGGTGACTCTCCCCTCCAGTTGCAGGGCCTAGAGCCTGGGCACCCTACTCAAATAGTTGTCTTCAGGATGAGTTGATGATTTCTTAGTGCTGGCTCGAGTCTCAACCTTAGATGAGTGTTTTTTCTGTACACAAGCATACAGCTATGTTTCTAGCAACCTTTATTCTTAGATAAAACCAAATGAGGGAGGGAGCATTTACCAGGATCTGCTTAGTAATTTCATACCCATTATTTCATTTTGTTCCCTGAGGAAGCTTGAAAGGAGTGGTATTAGGCCCATTTTATAGACGAGAAGCTTAAAACTCAAAAAAGGGAACTTGCTTATGGTCGTACAGCTTATAGGTGGCAGGATTGGACCTCCAGAAATGTAAACCCAAACTCTCTGACTCCACATCCAAAGCGGCCCCCCTCCGCCCTCCCCATCCTCACCTTAACAAAGGAGAGCCATAAAATTGCTTCAGATCATATGGAGACTCTCCCCATTCATTGTGGACCTCGGGGAACATTGCTACCCTTTCAGGCCTGAGTCTCCCCAGGAGTGAAACAAGACTGGTAATACCTTTCCTTTCCACTCTCTCAGGGATGCATGAGGTTAAAGCAGTGATAGGTTGGAAAGATGATTTGAAATGTGCTTTGTAAACATGAGGCATTAGATTATTACTTTCACAAATGTTAACTTCTCTAGTTTGACAGATTGTGGGCAGTTCCCTCTTGGTTTTATTGGAATAAATGTGGTGGAATTTGAATTTTTAAAGATAATATTTATACCAGCAATCTCTTGCCATATTATTACCATATTCCACCCAAATCCTGGAGTTTTCCTAAAACCACTTAAAAATTAATTCTAGTCATGTAGACAGTTTGTACTTAGGGCAATGAACTGGATCCCTTGCTCGTTAAACAGTCCAGACTCCCGAGTTGGACTGACATCGTTTGGTCCCCACCTGTGAACAGATAAAGAAACTGCTGTCCTATGAGTTTCTCAGGCCTGCTTCGTCCCTCGTTTCCGTCCTTTTGTAACTCCAGCTTACGTTCAGTGTTGGCTTAGTTTCCGTTTCCCCTTTCGTGTATGTTCCCGTCGGAATAAGGGTCTCGGCCCTGCTGCTGTCCAACTTCCGGGGCCTCTCTACAACCTCCCTGGTTAGCCAGCGCCAGGCACCCACCGCCAGCCTACCGCCTAGTTGTCCCAGTATGTTCGTTACAGTCCCCCAGTCGGTCCCAGTGGCCACATGCTGCCCACAGATGACAGCAGAGTAGCGTGTCGCTAGTGAAAAGCATCGTTCCGCCAGGCATGTGACCCTGGATGAGGTCCCTGGCTGCCCACTGCAGAGGGAGGGGGTGGTCCTCGAAGAGGGACTACGGAAGCGTCCATCTTGGAAGGAAATGGGCTATCGGGGGAGCAGTCAAGATGTTTGCACAGCCACAGTCCCTGGGGTGCTCTGTCATTAACGTGGATGACCCAGCCTCCGTGCCACTTCTGTGTCACCCACAGAGCCTGATGGTTTTTATTGACTTTGATCATTCTGATTCCTGGAGGCAACTGATGAGCGGAAGTAAGAGTTCAAAGTTCAGAGGGACCTCATCTGGTCGTGTTCAACGACAGGGCCAAATACGGACCCAGGGCTTCTAGTTTTTAGAAAACAGACACAAGGTGCCTGACTGACAGTATCTGAGAGGAAGCCAGTCCGTGCTGGTTGGAGAAAGGGCCCCAGAGCCGGTGAGGCTTCCTGTCTACCAGACGCTGCCCCCTCAAAACCAGGAGTGTGGGGTCGAGATGAAATCGTTCCTTAGAAGAAGTCATTCAGACTGAGCTTGCTGGGTGGTAACAGACAGTCACCTTCTCTGCAAGACATGTCTCCAGTGGGCTGGTGAGCCATCTACCCGCCCCGACCCCCACGCCTCCCACTCTCTGACATGTTGAGTGTAACCCCCTCTTCCTTTTGTCTCCCCAGCATTAATAATAAGCTACAACAGCCAGAGGCAGCTGCCGGGGTATTAGAATATGCCATGAAACACTTCGGAGAGCTGGTAAGTGCAGAGACCTGGCTAGGGAGGCACTCAGCCACCCCCTGGAGGAAGTTACTTTCCTGTTCTTTTCCCAATTGCTGACATCTGACTTTGCTGTACCGTAAGGATGAAGGAGACAGCGGCTGTATGGATTACATTCAAATTGAACATAGGTCGGGAGGACGGAACCTGATATATAGTAATAGCTGGTGTGCATCAGCCTCTTGGCACGTGCCCGACCCTTCGCTGCGTACTTTGTGTACACCATCTCATTCGGTCCTCACGACAGCCCGATGAGTAGAGGTGCAATCGTGACCCCATCCTACAGGAAGGGAGCCGGTGGTCCCAGCAGAACAGCAACCTCACCTGATCTGACAGCGAATCACTGGCCGAGCCAGGACTTGAACCCAGGCAGTCTGGCATCATCCATTTAACCCTGACCTGAGTTATTTTGTGTCATCTGTGGCGGCTGGCATCGCCACCGGCCCACGATTAACGCTCAGTACATACCTCAGAAGAAACCATGGCCAGTGCTCCAGAAAAAAATGTACTATAATTTATACCTCCTGTTAAGGAATTGTTCCATTTCATTATTGCTCACATAGCTTCTTCTCTCCTGCCATCTTTGCCTTATCAATATTAAAATGTTTCCATTACCCTCTGTGGTCCGGGGAGGGTGCTTTGGTAACTACCTAACCATATATAAAGCATTGACTTAATCAGCTCGGCATTGACTTCCGGGAAGGTCAAGATGTTCTGGGTCGGTGCATTTGATGAGGAACCTTTTGTTAGTCGCGTGGGTCACTTACTCAGGTTTGCCGTGATCGAGAGCCCAGTGTGTTAGAGTGAAGAAATCCATGGCCGCTTCATAGGCTTTTGCCTCACACAGGGGCTAGTCAATTGGACTGGAACTTTCCAGGGAGTATTTTGCCATCTTGAGCACCTATCTGTAACTAGACCAAGACAGCATCTGTCCAGATGACAGGACAGAAGGGACAACGTCTCTACCTTTGCCTCAATCCTTGATTGCAGAGGGGGCACTTAACGTAGTCTCTCAAGGACATTCATTCTCCTCCTTTGCTCTCCCTAGAGCTTGGGCCGCAGTCAGGGCGATAGAAACGAAGCTCCCATGACCATCTGGCATTCGGGTGACCTGCCGGCAGCTAGCTAATACCCAGCGGCTCAGAGCGCCAGCCTTAAGTGCAAGTTCCTCTGTCTCCAGGTTCTAAAGGTGGCCATTAGGTCCAGGATTGTTGCTAAACCCGTGGTGGATTTTCTGTTATATTTAGGGAGCTGAAGCGTATTAAGCCTGACAATGGTTTGGCTTTTCTTGGCAGAACCTGCGCTTTCTCAGCACAATTTATGTAACAGCAATCTCATTAGAATTTCGTGTGATTCATTGCTTAAACCTTACAGTTTCTGCAATCTATTGCAATTCAAAATATCCTGCCCCCTGCCTGACCTGCTCCATATGCCGCTGCCTCTGCTTTCTGCTTGTCTGCGCCTAGCGTGTGCCATCCGCTGGTCACCGGCCCCCTTCCTCTTTCCCGCTGGGGTAGAAATCATTTACTTCCCAATTTTAGCGTTTTTCATTTTAACGCTGTCTTTACAGCCACGCTTCTAAGTTTTCTCTCTCATATCCTTCTAAACAGCCTCGGAAAATGAAGTTTAAGTAGTTTTCCCTTCTGCAGAGCCAGACGGGCCGGTTTGGGTGAACCCTCCTGTGCACCGACACAGGGCAGAGGGCTGTCGGGCAGCGGAATTCGTGCAGGGGCGGCCGAGGGGATCGGCTGTGCCAAGAACCGCCGAGGGGAAGTTGGCACGAGTTAACGACTGAAAATAGAAATGACCTCCTTACGGAGGTTCGAGAAGAAAAGGTCCTTTCAGAGAGCTTAGCAGAGTAGCGGTCGGCTACTCAAATAATACCACTCAAATAAGACTTTTATTCAGAAAGGGAAGGAGGGCAATGGGGGGGCGCACGGGTGGGCCCTGGATCGTATCGTACAGAATCCGCTGCAGACTCCTCTTGTTGTTAGCGAAATCCCTGGAGAGCCACTGCCCTGGCCTGTAGAGACGTAGCCGTTCACTACGCCGGTGAGGAAGAAGCCCAGAAGACAGACTGAGGTGGCTGCAGGCCAAGACGTCTCGGGAAGCGGTCTGTCCCCTGACCACTTGGAGAGCCAGAGTCTGCCCCTTTTAGCCTGTGGCCCCTCTTCCTCACGTGGCCAGCGCTGAAATCCAGCGTGGCGCACCGTCTGCCCGGGTAATGGAAACCGTCCTCTGGCCCCCGACACTGGCAGACCTGCCAGGCGCTGAGCAGGAGGGAACATTGGATGCAGGAGTCGAAGAAGGGAGGAAAGGTTTTCCAAAGAATTTTAAGCGGTGGCGCTCTATCGTATTTTAAATCAGTATTTCCTGAAAGTTTAAAAACGCATTAAGAAATGCAGAGAATCAGGAGCTTTTAAAAATTCGAGTTATTTTCCTCCAGCAAATGTGCAAATATGCCTGGTCTTTCCGGCCCCATCAGGAAAGCAGCTCCCGGTCCGGTGGCCCGCGGCCCGCACTCCAGCGGACCGAGGCCTTGGCACCCTTGCAGGAGCTCTGGTCGGGGCCTCCTGCTGTCCCAAAGGATCTCCCCTGTCATCGCATCCCCACCTGCCAGGGCTCTGGTGGCCCCTGCGTCTGGGCAGGACGTGACGGGGCACGGGGACGTGGCCCACCATCTGCTGTCAGGTTATCACAGGGTCACTCCATCAGTGTGCCAAGGCACCTGTGTTCGCACCGCCACCCAAGCTGCCTCCAGATACGCTGAAGTTCTTTTCCACCAAAGCCAGGACATACGGTGACGGGGGAAGCATCTAGCACCTTAGGAAAGGCAGCGTGGGGTTTAAAACGTGCAATTTTAATTTGCTCTCCGGCTCTCCATGCGACAGCAGTCTTCTCTCTTTCCCACCTTGCAGGAGATCCAGGCCACCTGGTACGAGAAGCTGCACGAGTGGGAGGATGCGCTCGTGGCCTACGACAAGAAGATGGACACCAACAAGGACGACCCAGAGCTCATGCTGGGTCGCATGCGCTGCCTCGAGGCCTTGGGGGAATGGTGAGCCGCCGGGAACGCCCTCTCTGGGGTTTCGGATTTGGAGGGCTTCCCCCATGCAGAGTTCTCACCCAAGACACTCCTCTTTGTTTCACTGGGCATCTTCCCGGGGATCATCTAGACCTTGGGTGTTTGGAGGTTTTTTTTTTTCAGACCTAGACTTTGTAAGTCCTCGAGGACAGGGCGGGCTTGGGTGAGCTGTTAGGATCTACACCTGCTCCTTCCCGTCTGCCTCTTGACCTTGACTATGCAGACCTCACGTTCTTACTGTGCAGCCTTTTCTTTATTAGTTCTTGCTAATGATTTTGGAAGAGAAGAACGAGTAACCGCCCTCTTCAGATGCTTCATCTATATTGAATGCTTACTACGTGCCCGGCACTCTGCCAGGCCCCAGACATAAAAGAGGCACAGAAAATAAGGCCTCCCTCCATCAGGAGGCTCGTGAGACAAGCATATCGCAGATAGTCATTAAAGCCGGAGAGTACAGTGACGGTGGTCTGAGCAGACGACTTTAACCACCGGAGGGAGCAGGATGGCCTTGCCCTGCCCCCTGAAGGGAGGACTAAGACTGGGGGACACTGAAGGGGAATGGGGAGTTTAGCTGCAAACACTTGCCGAGGTCTTGGTCTGGGGATTTTTGGGGGGACATTGAAGGAAAAATGGTCCCTATTCTGTTTCCCAGAACCTAGTGCAGGTTTAAAAAAAAATTTTTTTTAATGTTTTTATTCATTTTTGAAGGAGAGAGAGAGAGACAGAGACAGAGACAGAGCATGAGCGGGGGAGGAGCAGAGAGAGAGGGAGACACAGAATCCAAAGCAGGCTCCAGGCTCTGAGCTGTCAGCACAGAGCCTGATGCGGGGCTCGAACCCATGAACCGTGAGATCATGACCTGAGCCGAAGCCAGATGCTCAACCGGCTGAGCCACCCAGGCGCCCCCGTGTGCAGTTTTTTTAAATAGTTGGAACAAAAGGCCACAGTACAGTGGTGAGATGCTATTTTTTTAATGTTTATTTCTTATTTTGAGAGAGGGAGAGAGAGAGAGAATCCCAAGCAGGCTCCACACTCTCAGCACAGAGTCCAACGTGGTGCTCAACCTCACGAACCGTGAGATCACAACCTGAGCCGAAATCAAGAGTCAGACACTGAACCGACTGAGCCCCCCAGGCGTCACAATGCTGAAATACTGTAACAATAGTTTTAAATAGTTGAAATGCCATGCTGCTTCCCCACGAGTGGATTATCCAGACTGTGTCTGAGACAGGAGACCGGAAGGCCCCTATGTACCCATTCAGCCAGTAATTACTGAGCACCTATTCATGGCCAGTGTCTGTGCCAGGTCCCAAGGACGCAGCAGCGAACCAGGCGACACAGCCCCTGCCTTCCCAGAGCTCACAGGCCAGGTAACTGGGCTACAGTAGTACAGAGTGAATACAGTAATAAAGAGGAAGTGCAGGGGGCTGTGGGAAATAGAAGGGGCCCTAATCCAGGCGTAGAAGCGTTTGGAAGGCTTCCAGGAGGAAGTGATACCTAACTTGAACGTGTGTAGTGAGGAGTGAACACAGTATGTTCAGTGTTCTGAAAGTTCAGTGTGGCTCGGAGGGTCAAGTGTGATGTGGAGAGGTAACAGGGGAGGCAGAAGAGGTCGCCAGGGGCCAGGTGGCGTGGGGTGTATACCACGTGAGGAGTTAAGGCTACGGCCCTCCGAGGAGTTGGAGGGCCGTGACTGGCAGGTTTGCATTATACACAGAACCTTTCAGAGCAAATTAAGAGAGTGGATCGAAGGGAGACCAGAGAAGGGTTGGAAGGGCCTGTTCAGAGGGCACCCAAGGGGAGAAGGGGGAGAGGGAGGGGGCTGGATCCCAAGGTGTTTAGGAGGCGGTGTTGACAGGATTTGGAGTCTGATTAGGTGTGGAAGTGAGGACGGAAGAGATTACGGTTTTAGCTTCCAGAATAAAGGGAAGCTGGAACACCCCCAGAGCTCCTCAGAGGTCAGATCATCCCAAAGCCTAAGGTTCCCCTGAAACCAGGCCTCCAAGGAGCTGTCTGGGGGAAGTTCCACAGGCCCGCACCCTCGCATTTGGATCTGCATTGGCAGCCTCTGCCCCTGTCCCTAAAGGATTTTTTTTTTTTTTTTTTACTCTATGTTCTTGTAATCAGTTTTTATTTTTAAAGCATTATATTTTTGAAAAGGTTAAATACACCATGGTACGGAATCCACTAGTACAAAACAGTGACGGAACTGTGCAAACCAAGTCTTCTCCCCGTCCCGCAGCCACCCAGACCCGCAGGCGCCGAGGCCGGGTCCTTGTGGAGACTCCCGGTGACGGTCCGCGTCGGTGCACCACGTACATTATGATGGTGAATTCTGCACACCTCTTTGCACCTTGTTTTTTCACTTAACGCGTGTAAGCCACTCTCCCGTCACTCCCTGAAGTGCTGTCTCGTTTTCTCAAGGGCCTCACGGTATTCCATTTTGTCATTATTAGGAAATCTCAGTCTGTCTAAATAGGCAAATTTAGATTGTTCTGAAATGTTATACCTTGGGCAGTTTAAAGAATATTATTGGAGAAAAATCAAAGGAAGTCTTCTAAGAAGAACGCAGAACGCTCTCCCACTACACATTCTTTCTGTACCTAATTATAGATATTCTTTGGCAAACGATGGCTATTTTTACTTCTTAATATAAAGTTGTTACTGTATTCCTAAGACAAAAGATCTAATTGTACTGCATGAAAATTTAATGTCAATGATTTTAGCCTTAGGCATTGGATCACATATATGCAGATAATAGTCTAAAATTGCTTGAAATTGGTTTGTCTGGTTTAACCATTATTAGGGAGATTGAAATGTTATTATTTATTTCCATAATTAGCATTCTCCTAATGAGTCATTCACCTCAATAAATGAGGAAGCATAGCCTATCAAATCTGCCTCATTAGTTTGTACAACTAAGGTTTTTTTTTGTTTTTCATGTCCGACAGGTATCCAAAACTGCTGTAGCCACTAGCCAAGTGTGGCTATTTAAAATTAAATAAAATTAATGATTCAAGTCACACTGGTCACATTTCAAGTACTCAGCCACATGCAGCTGATGGCTGGTGCATTGGACAGTGCAGATCGAGAACATTTCCATCACTCTAGAAACCTGTTGGACGGTACTGATCTAAAGCAAGAGTAGTATGTTGAAAACTAGCCACGTTATTTCAAAAACAATTTTTTCCACTCTCAAATTGGTTATCATACAACCATGCTATTAAGAGAAAGATTAAAAAAAAACACAACAAGGTGTAAACATTCTTAAAATTCAACTCTAACCAATTCCTAAAATGTTTTAGCGTCTCCATTTTGCCCTTGAATTTATATGTAAGTGTCACAGCCTAGCATCCAAGTCTTTTGTGTTGTGACCCCAGCCCGTTTCTCAGTGAACTTTACCTCATAATCCGAGCTCTGGCCAAACCTTGCTCTTCAGACTCCACAGAATTTGTTTCCTCTGCGTTTGTCGATTCAGTTTCCTGAAGTGTACCCACTTCCTCCTCTGCTCCTTTTTCCACTTTATGAAACTCTGCCCCCCTTTCAAAGTCCATCCGTACTGTTTCTTCCTTCTCAAGACCGTTTCCAGCCCCCTTCTCACTTTAGGAATTCGAGACGAGCACTTTCTTACGTTGGTTATGTAGGGGTAGCTTGGATATATTGAAGAGGCTTTCGTTGTGATTCTGTCCAATCCCCTGTGACATTCGGGGAAGTTGACACAGCCTGCCTGCGGGGTCCCAAGAGCTAAGTGACCCAGGTCTCCTGCCGTGGCGGGGCTGGGTCCCATTTGCCTCTGCTCTCTTGGATTCGTTCCAGTTCCATAATTACCTATAAAGTGTAAGTAGCTGGTGATGCTGACCAGGGGATTTAGGAACGCGGCCGGCTGAAAGAGATTTTAAAAGAGATGAATGAAGCAGAATCCTTTTCCTGATCACCTGCAGGGTTCTCACATGGTTTGTTCGGTCAGTTCTATCGAACGTGCGATTTCTAAGCAGCTTTCGCTTCGAGTATGTATCCTGAACACGCCCGCAGAGGTGGCGTCAGCAGTGACCAGGGGTTACCAGTGAGCTAAGAACCTACCCCTTCCCCTTGCTCGTCTGCCCCAGGAAGCTAAGTGCAAGAGCTAGTCCCCCCAGCCCAGCCCCATGGCACACACAGCCACACCTGCTGCCAGGGTGAGTGTGAGTAAGCCCTCTCCCTAACTACTCCTTCACAGGCCCTTGGGTCCTAGAGAACAGATTGCTCAGGAGTGAGATCAGAGGCCGTCAGCCACTTAGGTGTTCAAATGAAAGAACACTTTCCGAGCTTTCTGCCCCTGTGCTCAGTGGGAAGGTCAAAGTCTTGGAGGACAGGCATTTTACCCAGTTCTCCCTGGAGTGCCGTGAGTGGTATCAGAAAACAGATCGTACTGTTTGCCCCACACACAGACTCATATTTTCTTATGTATTTGATTTTGTTCTCCCCTTGCCTTTGAACGTTAAGATTCAGTGTATTCTGCATTTTTGTTTGTGACAAATGCTGATGGGAGAGGAACCCCCCTCTGTGTGTGCTGGCAGCTATTAACACAGGCCACAGGTTGGAGGCGGTGCCCATGTCTGCCGTCGGGGGCCGCTGCTCCCTGCTGTGTCTTTTCAGGTCACAGTTTGTGGTGTTTCACACTGAACTAGCTCCCTGCCTCTAGATGAAAAGCACAGTTGGGTCCGCAGACCTACGGCACAGAGCTGGGTGGTCCTGACAAGACTGGAGGGTGCTGAGTTGCCTGTGGCCCCCAGCTATACAGATTTGAAATCTAGGGTTAGAAGAACCGTTCAGAGATCAGGCAGCTTCCTCCCCGACGTCTAGGCAGGACCCCAACAAAAATCTGCCGCTGAGTCCGTGATTCTCAGACACGGGGCCGCAGTGTCAGTATCACCTAGAAACTTGTTAGACGTGGACCTTCTTAGGCCCCAGTGCACGCCTCCTGAGTCAGGCTCAGGGAGTGACGCCCACCAATCTATTTGAAGGAAGGACCCTCCGGGGGATTGTGATGCACAGACAGTTTGAGAACTGCTGCTCAAAGGTCGCCCCTTACAGGGCCCAGTGGTGAAGGTTTTGGGGGTGGATGGCAGGAAGCCAACAGCGACCTCCATTCTGCTCCCATCACCGAGCTTCAGTGAGTGCCTAGGGCACAGAGGCGGCCCACTCCCCTTCCTCCTCTTTTTGATCCTAGCTGTGTACTGAACTAGAATGTCGTGGCCCCGGCTCTCTTGATCGTGCGCCAGAGAGGTTAATGACGGCTGTGCCACCGTGCTGGATCACGGCCCTGAGCAGTTGTCCTAGCAGTGGTCGCTAGTCCGCTTCTCGGTGAGCTCAGCCTAGAGCCCTTCAGAACTGACTGGCTTCAGCATTCTTTACCACACACCGGGTAGCTCATGTCCCACACAGCTTCTGATCTGGGCCACTTGGAACTTGTACCTTTTCTCTTGACTCCACTGCCAAGACCGAGTTAGAACATCCTTAAAAAAAAAAGTAAAAAAAAAAGTTGCAGCGTCTCTTGCGGAAAGCGTGAAGGATTAGAGTCTCCTGAGTCTTGAAGCTGACAGGAAAACAGAGGGTCCTGTCCGCCCACCAGCAAGGTTTGACATCCGTTCATTCAGGAGGGGAACATGGGAAGGCAACAGTGTCAGAAGTCAACGGGACGTCTCGCTTCTCGAGAGGCCTTCTGCCCTCTTGGTGGATCGAAGTCTCTTGAGCACCATTCAGATCTCGGAATCTCATAGTCCTTCCCCACGTGAACAGCAGTTGTATAAAATCTGGGAACGAGCATCTGGGTTTCTGGTGGGCGTGACCACGGTTGAGCCTTCGTCCTGTGCTGATGGATTTCAGTTGCGTCTCATTTCAGACCACAGCCGTTTGTATCACACTTTCAAGAGCCCGTCCTCCCTAAACCTTTGAGCCCAAGATGAATGTCCAGATGTCGCTGTGTCTCTTCAGATTGCTTTCTCTGTAGGCCCGCTAAGGGGAAAGAGCCCAAAATTCACTGGCCTAGGAAAGAAGCTACTTAGTGTTTATGAAGGGGGCAGGATGCCCAGGACATCTCCGATCCCAGAGTTAGACACAGTCCCCAGCCTCGATAAAGTCATCCGCTGACAAAATGGTGAGCCACCAGGCCGTAGAAAGAAGTCACCGACCACTTCTCCTATATCTTAGGACCCAGTCAAGGGTGCTTTTTATTTGAAGGCTCCCGGTTCACAGCAGGCCCCAGCTCACCCAGGGGGCCAGAGAGGATGACGCACAGGTTGTGGAAGTGGTTTCGGGTAACACAACTATCTGGTTCTCTTCCTTCAGGGGGCAGCTCCACCAGCAGTGCTGTGAGAAGTGGACCCTGGTTAACGATGAGACCCAAGCCAAGATGGCCCGGATGGCCGCTGCAGCTGCCTGGGGCTTAGGTGAGGCTTCCCTCCCAGGCACCCCCGTCGGGGCAGGGAGGGGGTGGCTGGGGGCCCGCATTCAGAAATCAAGGCAGCTGTGGTTACAGGTAGAAACGTGAGGTCCACAGAAGTGTCAAAGAGCCTGTACCCACGTCTGTCTCTCCCACCCGTCCCTTCTACCTGATGACCGTGACTGACTTGGTAGACACAGGTAAAAATGGCCCTCGCCAGGGAAGCCAAGAAAACCAGCCAGCCAGCATCAAAACTGACATATTTAGTGAGGTTTTGTTTATTCTAAACAAAATACTGGTTTATTTTTCTCTCTTACGAATGATATCTAGAAGTAGAAATTTCCAACCCAGTGTCTGGCTCCATTGCCATTAGCCTCTCTCCATATCTTCCGCTTTGTGTGGGACCTCCATTTTCAAGTCCACCTCATGATCCAGGATGGCTGCTGGAGCTCCACCCATCATGTCTTTACCCCTAGCAGGAATAAAGAGAGAAGACAGCTGTCTGTCTCCTTTTATTTCTTAACTGTTATTCTAGAACTTTCCTAACACATATAAAAGTGAAGAGAATAGTATAACGAACTCCCATATGCCCTCACCTTCTCCAGCACTTATAAACATTTTCACAGTTCTGTATTTTCTGTTCTCCTCCTTGCTGCCTGATACCCCCCTTACTCCCTGAGTATTTTAAGGCAGAAATCTCCTTTCAGTCCCCACAGACAAGTGTAGATTTCTGACACCGGGCCCCAGCTGAGATTACCAATGTCTGGTCCAGAGATGTTCTCAATAAGCGGGGACAGAAGCCACAGGACGCCCCAAGTGAAAAGCTTCACCTGTGGAGTCCAGAGGAAGGTTACATAACCCTCTACCTCCATTCCATCCCTCTTGAGTCACGGAGCTTATATCCTTTCCATTCATGAGCTCTGGGCCGGATCCAGGACATTTTTCAAAAACAAAGTGCTTCCTGAGGAGTCATCGTTTGCCATTTGCTTTTGCCCAGAGGCACCGAGAATGAATGAGTCGATGGTCTGGAGTGAAAGGCAGGAAAATGCCTTGTAAAATCGGCTGCCCTGCAGTCTGCAGCTAATGAGGCTGATAGCGTTTCTGCAGATGGGCTCGGAAACGCTGGCATCTGATGCGTGCTCCCCCCCGTCAGGGGAAGTCAATGTCTCTTTCTGGATGTAGCCCTTTCCCCGGTCTGTGCCCTGATCCGGAGACCACTGTGCTGTGACCCAGCCCATCTTTCTGTTATAACAGAACCTTTTAAAATATTTAACTCCTCCCTCCTGAGGCACAGGTAGTGCCAGAGTGAGGCGGGCGAACTCTTTGTCTAATCCTGCCCCCTGTCTGGGTAATGGCCTCTTTCAGCCGTTGAGGGGAAAATGTAATTTCCAATGTACCGTTGAACTGCGAGCTGCTTTGCTAGTAGGGAAGAAAGCCATCCCGTGTCACCTAGGGAAGCCTGAGAGAGTCCTCTAGGCTAATGAGGTGCTACGTTAAAGCCTCTTGACAGGTAGGCTTTGCACTCACTGGGTTTCTCCCATCTTTCACGGAGCTCCCTGGGGCAGCAGTGGAGTCCTGTGTTTGGAAGATAGATGTGGCTTTGTTTGTTACACTGGCTCGCTCAACCCTGTAGGGTATAGAGTCTCTGCAGGATTTTGATACATCAGGCACGAGCCCGTCTCGTTCGAACCCCGAGCTAAATGCCAGGTACAATGACAAGGCCAATTTGAGCCGCTACCTTAGCATCCTAGCAAGCTGACCACCCTAATGCTTTCCTCTCTCTCTCTCTCTCTCTCTCTCTCTCTTTGTGTGTGTGTGTGTGTGTGTGTGTGTGTGTGTGTGTGTGTGTAGGTCAGTGGGACAGCATGGAGGAATATACCTGTATGATCCCTCGGGACACCCACGATGGGGCATTTTATAGAGCTGTGCTGGCACTACATCAGGACCTCTTCTCCTTGGCGCAACAGGTAAAAGCCTACGTGTACTCAGACCGTCTAGCAAAGGAAAGGTAATTAGTCGTGCCCCGTCAGTTGCGAGGCACGCGGCCCCTGTGGAAATGGGCTAATGTTCTTCCGCTCTGGGGTTCGGCTCCGTGAGCACATCAGAATCTAGGCTTTGGAGCATAAGACTCGCGAGAAGACTGCCAGCACATCAGCCAGGGCCACTTTCTGCTCTAAGCGGGACAGAGGTGTTCTGGAATTTGCCATTTACGTGGTCTTGGAATTCGCTTCTCGGGTCAGCACTGCACTCTCTGATCGCTCTGCTTTAGCAGCGTCCCTTGTAGTACAGAAGGGTAGTGTGTCTCACCCGAAGAGGGTTTGGGAAGCAGCAGCCCCGTCTGCAGAGGTCAGTCTCCAGGTTCTTCGGCTGTTCAGGCGTGTCACATAGCGATGGCCTGGGAAAGGGAGCTCTGTATTTGAGAACCCTGTGCTGGCTCACGGGATAAAAGAACAAAGTGGTCACATCCTAACAGGCACCAGGCTGTCTTGGGTGAGGTGCTGGGGTAAATGACCCGAGCGCCCAAGGGATGGGGGCACAGTAACGAAGCTCAAATATTCGAGAAAGGAAAAGCTTTGCATGCGGGGTCTTGAGTTGAGGAAACACAAGACTCAAACCACAGTCCTGGGGCCATCCCCTGAGCTCGGGCTTACATGATGAGAACTGAGGCCTGGGCCGTCGTTTCACAGGCACAGAAGTGCCTGTGACATGGACAGGTCTGGACATTCCTCTGCCAGGAGCCACGGCACTCCTGCATGAGGACAAGACGCTTAGAAGCCAGTGATGGCCACCTGGAGCTACTAAGGGTTTGCACAGTTTAGTTTCACAAATACGTCCAGCAAGGAAAAGATGAAAGAAGGCAGGTCTGCAAGCTGTTGTCTTGAGACAGGAGAACACAGTGATTCTTTTCTTTTTTTCTTTTTTTTTTACTTAATGTTTATCATTTATTTTTGAGAGAGACTGAGCGCAAACAGGGGAGGGACAGAGAGAGAGAGGGAGACACAGGATCCACAGCAGGCTCCGGGCTCCGAGCTGTCAGCACAGAACCCGATGTGGGGCTCGGACCCACGAGCTGTGAGATCATGACCTGAGCCGAGGTCGGACGCTCAACCGACTGGGCCACCCTGACGTCCTGAGAACACAGTGATTCTCAGCATGCCTTTTCCTTCCCTTGTTACCTAGGATTCGGGATGTTAAGCTTTTGGTTGCCATACGTTCTGTCTTTTCTGGGAAATTGGATAATGCTCTTCTTTAGCCTTGCAAATCTGGTAAAAGGCTTCTTTCCTTCTTCAGTGAACTTTTCTCTCCATCACTAGAATTTAAGTGAAACAGATAAGCTCCAACTAGTTAGGAAGCCTAAGACCACACTCGGCTCCCGAGCCCATGGCTCAGTTCCAGTCTTCTCTGTTTCTCTTCTAGTGTATCGACAAAGCCAGGGACCTGCTGGATGCAGAGCTAACTGCTATGGCAGGAGAGAGCTACAGTCGGGCATATGGGGTGAGTGTCGAGCATTCTGCACAGTGTCGTTTTAAAGGCTCATTTCAGTTCTTTTATCAGGCGGGCCAGTGAGGACTCACAGGCCGCTGAGAACATGCCTGTGTGTTCTCAGCAGATACCCTGTCGCCAGAAGGAATGATTGAAATGAATCCTGGCTGTGGATTGTTCATGCCGTATTAAGTTGGAATGTGATTTGCTTCCATCAGGCCATGGTTTCTTGCCACATGCTCTCCGAGCTGGAGGAGGTTATCCAGTACAAACTCGTCCCCGAGCGACGGGAGATCATCCGCCAGATCTGGTGGGAGAGACTGCAGGTGAGGCCGGTAGAAAGCCCCGGGGTAGCCCGCCCCCGCCCCCCCCCCCCCCCCCCGCTCTGGCTCGCCATGCGCTCCCTGCCTCCTCACAGAGGCTGGGGCTGCATTCAAGGCAAAGTGCTCAAAGTCTGGGCACCTAAGCCCTTAGGTGTGAGAGAATGACCAATTCTCAGCCTCCTCTTACCCTTTTCGAGGAGTGCAAGAAAACGTCTTTAATAAGTGCCACTTCTAGACAACTTGCTGAGGATCTTAATCCCGGATTCAGTGGTTCTCCACTTCAGCTGCATGATAGAATGACCTGCAGAGATTTTCAAGTCCGGATACCTAGGCCGCTTCCCAGACTAAATAAATCCAAATTTCTGGGGACAGACCCAGGATCAGTATCTCTTCAGCCTCCCCAGATGTTTCCAGTGCGTGGCCAACACTGAGAACCACTGCTCTGAATCCACTTACTGGCCACCCACATCCAGCTTTTTAACCGGGGTTACCTGATGCTTCGATTGACCGACCCCTGCCGTGTACAGTTCCTCAGGCCATAGTCGTCCACAGTCTCTCTTCTGACTCTGAAGTTTCCCTCACGGAGGAACTTCTCCAAGTCCTGCATCAGTGTTTTCATTGTATATTCTGATCGTTTGAAGCGTGAGGAGCAGTCCGTTCCAGATGTGGGAGTCAGCAGTCTTAAGTGTTCTTGGAAAGGACAGCTCTCCCATTCCTTGCTTTGGTAGGAGGGCAAGTTCATTTGCAAAGGAGAAAAAGCCTTCACCGCTCCAGAAGCCACTCGTCCGTCGTCCCCCCCCCTCCCCCCGCCACGGTTTTAGACAGTTCCTCTTGGCCCATCCATACCTATTTCCAGATTCTTCTCCAGGCCCCTCCTCAGTGGGCTGTGATAAAACCTTTTCACTCCAGGCTGCATTCCTGTCTGGGGAGCTTTGGGCACATTCCGCTGGCGAGGGGAGAGCAGGAGGCAGAGATCGTGTGTGAATGCAGTCACTTACGCTCTGCAGTGAGCACATGCAGTTCTTTCAGATGTTTTATTAGCAATTATGAAATGCCCAGTGAATGTTTTGACGGAAAATTGTCTACTGGCCACCAGAAAAGAATTCCACAGAGCAAGCATTTCCCACCTGCCTTGGACACACCCCGGTTTTCTTTAAGTGTCTGTAATGGGGTAAAGAGTTTCCACATCAGAGATCTGATGAACCTTTTGCCATTCTGACAAGGGAGACCTTGTCCAAATAGAGACCCGGACGGGGGTGGAGTAAATGAGTCTTGGAGAGGGGAAACCCGTGCTTGACTTTACCGTGTCCAAAACACTGTCGTCATCGGAGGCCTTCGTGACTTTCCTACCTTGAGACAGCAAGATGCTTTCTGGCTCACAGGGGGCCCGATCATTTCAGCACCTGGAAGAAACTAGCGGATGGTGAGAAGTTCCCAAAACAGTCACTCGATGTACTTTTTTCTGTTTTTATAACTTTCCAAATCACTGTTGCCACACTTAATGGGACGGAAAGACACGGTCCAAGGCCTGAAAATAAAGCATTAAGTTTGTGGCAGAAATTTGGCTCTCATGGATGGCTTGTCGTCAAAGCACTTGATAAGCCGCCTCAGCTGGAAGGCCGCCATTTTGTGATCAGGTCATTTCCGTTGAGATCCCCCACCAGCATGAGAGCTGGGGAGCATGAGAGGTCCCCAGTGGGGAGCATGAGAGGTCAGCCTCATGTGCCTTGAGTTCTGCATTTAAGTTCACTCTGGATCCTGTTACACTTAAAAGCCTGTGGCCATTGCTGCTGGACTCTCAGAATCGCCTCCATGGAGGGATGGTTCATTTGGTTCGATTTGCCTTTTGAATGGATGAATTCACCAAAGGAGTGACAGGTCTCAGGAGCTCTGCTCCCCTGCAGGTCTGTCTCTGAGCCTGACTTCTTACAGTGAGGAAGAGGAGAGGCCCGCTCTCCCTCAGAAGTTTTTGATATAAAATTAGCCTACCCCTTTTAATAATGATGAATTCATTCTATTTTTTTATTATTACTTTTATTTCTTTTTCGAGAGAGAGAGCCCAAGAGCATGAGTAGGGGAGGGGCAAAGAGAGAGAGGGAGACACAGAATCTGAAAGCAGGCTCCAGGCTCCAAGCTGTCAGCACAGAGCCCAACGCGGGGCTCGAGCTCGTGAGATCATGACCTGAGCCGAAGTCGGACGCATAATCGACTGAGCCACCCAGGTGCCCCCACTCTACTGTCATTAAAAGGAATGTATAGGGGCGCCTGAGTGGTGCAGTCGGTTAAGCGTCCGACTTCAGCCAGGTCACGATCTCGCGGTCCGTGAGTTCGAGCCCCGCGTCAGGCTCTGGGCTGATGGCTCAGAGCCTGGAACCTGTTTCCGATTCTGTGTCTCCCTCTCTCTCTGACCCTCCCCCGTTCATGCTCTGTCTCTCTCCCAAAAATAAATAAAAACGTTGAAAAAAAAAATTTTTTTTAAAGGAATGTATAGATGTGAACAAATGAGGCACTTTTCCTTCTCCGTGCAGTTTTTGCTCTGGGACAAATGAAAATGAAGAGAAAAGAATCTAGGCAAGTTTTCATGAAGGTTTAGGCGTCAGTAAATAACTGGTCACAAGTCTGGTTCGGTTTTTCAGATTCCTCATCACCTTTCCTATCTTTAATTGGAATTAATAACTTCAGGACTATTTATGCCACCAATTTATGAGCAATGTCATGTGAAATTTTAATTGTTTAAACTTCTTTTGTACTTAATTCATCTTTCAAATCTTGAATGATACATTTTTAAAAAGATTTTATCTTTAAGTAATCTCTACACCCAACACAGGGCTTGAACTAATGACCCCGAGATCAAGAGTCATAAGCTTCTCCAACTGAGCCAACCAGGAGCCCCTGAATGATACATTTTTTTTTTTAATGTTTTTATTTATTATTTTTGAGACAGAGAGAGAGCACGAGCAGGGGAGGGGCAGAGAGAGAGGGAGACACAGAATCTGAAGCAGGCTCCAGGCTCTGAGCTGTCAGCACAGAGCCCGATGCGGGGCTCGAACTCACGGACCACGAGATCGTGACCCGAGCCGAAGTCGGACGCTCAACCAACTGAGCCACCCAGGAGCCCCTGCATGATACATTTTAACATTGCGTTTGTCAGTGATAGTCCACTTCATCCAGAGAAACTGAAGCAAAAAAAAAAAAAAAGTTAAAGATGCATTATTTACAATCCAGAAAAGCAGTTTAAATAATTTAACTCCTGTCACCCTCATCATAGCCCTATGAAGTTGGTACTGCCTTTACCCCCTTTTACCAGCTAAGTGACTTGCACAGCGTCACATCGATGGTAAGTGGCAGGGCCAGGATCCAAGCACCAGAGTCCATACTCCCCTGGTCCTCAGATTTTGAGAGGTTCCTAAGAAGTGTTTTGTTTTCTTGTTTTCTTCGCAGTACCCTTCCCTTGAGAAAGTTGAGGTTGTAAAAATGAGTTTCTTTTCTTTGGCTCAAGGTGGGTTTTGCTGTTGCTTGTCGGGGATTAAGCGACAGCAGGAGACCTACCTAACTCTCACCCCCGAATGTTCCAGGGCTGCCAGCGCATCGTGGAGGACTGGCAGAAAATCCTGATGGTGCGCTCCCTCGTGGTCAGCCCCCACGAGGACATGAGGACCTGGCTCAAGTATGCCAGCCTGTGTGGCAAGAGTGGCAGGCTGGTGAGTCACCCCTACCACCAGGACAGGGTGGGAGGCTGAGGAGGGCACGGTGCTCCCGGTCCCGTTCTGTTTATAACCTGACCTCTCTTGGTTTTAAGGCTCTTGCTCATAAGACCTTGGTGTTGCTCCTGGGAGTTGATCCGTCTCGGCAACTTGACCATCCTCTGCCAACAGTTCACCCTCAGGTGACCTACGCCTACATGAAAAACATGTGGAAGAGTGCTCGCAAGGTCTGTGTCCGATTCTGTCCAGCAGTAGACCGCGTCGCTCCAGGATGCTCACTAATCGGCTTGTCACTGCCTCGGGGCCCAAAGGGGAACAGCATCCAAACCACCACGTCAGGGAGTTAGCTCCTGGTAGGAAGCTATTTGGCCCAATTTCAAAAGTGAATCATATTCGAGGACGTGCACGTATACAGTTGATCGAACCAATGAGTGTAATCAATTATATTACATAGAGCATGCTAGAACATAGAGAAAGCTGAATTTCTGCCGCCCCCCCCCCCCCCAGGAGAAGGTGGGCTATTCAATACCGAAAGGGCAGCCTATCTGTGAGAGCACAGACGGGAAATTTCACAAGACCAGTTTGCGTTTTCAGACTTCTCGTCTCCTGTCCTATCATCGCTTGGGATTCAGAAGCAGCCACACCGAGTGTAATGTTGAATCCAGTCGGGAGCGTCACCTTGGAGCCAGTGTAGAATTCCTCTTACTTCAGTTACAGGCAGGGCCTTCCCCCGACAGGGAATTAGATGCAGCTCCTGGCGGGGGCTTTGGTTTTATTTTTTTGAAACCGTCTTCCTGGATGATGGCGATGATTAACAAAAAGTTGGCCCCAGAGGCAAAATCAGCATCCGCTTTGGCTCCTCATCCTCCTTACCAGACAGAGAGGGCGTCCCAGCTCTCCCTCTCTCGCCACTGTGGTCCCCGCATTGGGACCCGTCGTGAGAGGGGTCTGCACTGCGGCCGTGGCCGTGGAAAGATGCCATAACATAGCAGCCGTGTCTCAGTGGGAGGCATGCTTAGGGAAATCTAGGACTGTGTCTGGAAACTGCCTTCTTTTCGGATGGTCGACTCTGACGACGAATGCCGCCCAGAGTGGGATCGGGAGCCCTGGAGCCCAGCGCTGGTCTTCGACAGGGGTGCGCTTCAGTCGTATCGGCCCGAGCTGCATTCCCTACTCGTATGGTCGGGGGCGGGGAAGGGGGGGGGGTTTCCTCCTGTTGTTCATTGGGGTCTGGCTTGCTTTGGTGTGGTTGCAAGGCTCTGCAAGCTTCCCAGGCCAGAGCGGTTCCGATTCAAAGCCTGACCTCCTCCAGGCAGATGAGAAAAACAGAAGGTACTGGATCTGAATATAGTCCGGTTGCCTTCCTACGTGCAGCCTCCAAGTCTTTGAACGTCTTGCCGAAGGCAGGCAGCGGGAGCCTCTTGGCTGATGTCTCAACCAAGGAGTGGCTTCTTTCAACATGGGACCACAGCCCGGCTTCTCCACACATCACAGCCTCTTCTTGGGAGCCCACATTCTGGTGGGAGCCCATAAAACGACATGGATTAGAAATTGAGAAACCTCTTTCAAGTTAGGGGCTCGAACTTCAAGCCCAGAGCTAGAGATGTTCTGCCTTCGCAGACATTCGGGAGCTACTCAAAGAAAACCAAGTGCTTAGTAATAACTGTGCTGTTGAACAAGGTGCTTTTCTTCTCTGAGCTCTGCTTTCCTGCCACTAGAAACAATTCAGTAAACTGTTGTGTTCTGCCCTGCATAAGGCAGAAAGAGTTTGAGAAAAGCAGCGTCGGCTTTGCAGGAAGGCGTCAGGCAGTAGGTGAACGTACCGTGTTTTCCTAGGTGAGCCGCTTCCCGGAATCTAGAGACAGGCCGGTCCTTCCATGACATTTCGCTAAGCTGAGCTTGTCCGTCTTGCCCACAAACCACTCAGGCATCCAGGAGCCAAGAGTATGATGTGCAGCTTAAACTCTGGGCATGAGAGAAACCCCTTCCTCTGAGTGGCCGGTCCCTCATCCGTCAGAGAGAGAGAGAGAGAGAGAGAGAGAGAGAGAATCAGTTTTTCTCTCCTCGCTTCCCAGGGGCGGAGCCAAGAGGGATTTTAATAGAACATTTTCAATTCCTTGAAAATAAATTGCCTCCATGCCACAGAGGAGAAGGATATAGATTCTCCCGAGTGGGATAAATTGACTTTATACTGAGCTTCAAATCCAAAGTAATACCCAGTCCTCCCCGGTTTGGGCAATTTATTTTTTGTTCAGTGCCTTGTTGAGCCTCCCCAAAAGTCTCTAACCTGTGTGTCTGGACTGTCAGTGACACAGAGCTCATGGGCTCCAAACAGCCCTGACCTCAGCGTTCCTGGTGTAGTTCTTACCTGATGGACACGCTCATCACACTGAGTTATCAGTCAGCCACCTTTCTCCCAATCTTTTTTTTTTTTTTTTAAACGTTTATTTATTTTTGAGACAGAGAGAGACAGCATGAACGGGGGAGGGACAGAGAGAGAGAGGGAGACACAGAATCTGAAACAGGCTTCAGGCTCTGAGCTGTCAGCACAGAGCCCGACGCGGGGCTCGAACTCACGGACCGCCAGATCATGACCTGAGCCAAAGTCGGCCGCTTAACCGACTGAGCCACCCAGGAGCCCCCCGATTGATCTTTTTACTGCTGCCTCTCAATTCTTTTTTTTTTTTCTTCTTCTTCTTCTTTTTAATCAGCTCTAAGTCTGGTCAGTGCAGTTTCTTGTAGAAAAACTAAAAGAACATTTATCACTTCCCAGGTGTGGGATGCTAACGTAGTTCATTTTTCAAAGCCAGTGGTGAGTAATGGGACCCTATGAAGGCAGCTAGCTGTCTGAGGGGGACAGTTGTCTTGTTAACTGTTGAACATCTGTGTGTCTGCAATGTCCCCCCGCACGGATTAGCTGCCTGATAAATCGTTTGTCACGTCATTCTGGCTCTGGGGTGAGCGCATCCCGTTGACGCCAATTAATTCCTTACGTTGAAAAGTGTCTGAGGTTGGTCTCTGCCCCCAAGCCAGGGAGTTTTATTTTTCCTTCAAGACTGTCACCGCTGACCTGCTTCTGTGTTTTAAAAACACGGAAGAAGACCGCTTTGACCTTATTTATTTAAAACGTTAGCTTTTCCTGCCCCCCCCCCCTTCTACAGGAAAGGACTCGTAGCCTCTTTTTCACATCCTCTCACGTAGCGTTTCCCCTCACTGTGTTGGTGGGTTTAGATTCCACCATTTTTTTCCGTCGGAACGTTTGTGTCCATATGCTCTGTCTCCACCCGTGAAGCCCTTTGAAGAGCATATGGACCCCATTTATGTATTTATTTATTTTGAGAGGGAGAGAAAGAGCGAGGGGTAGAGCGAGAGGGAGGGAAAGAACCGCAAGCATGCTCCATGCCACCGCCGGTGCAGAGCCGGGCACGGGGCTTGAAGTCACGACCCGTGAGCTCACGACCTGAGCCGAAACCAAGAGTCGGACGCTTAACCGACTGAGCCACCCAGGCGCCCCTGGACCCCGTTTATTAAGATACTGGTGTGTGTGGACATGTGGGCTTCTACAGACGGCTTGTAACTTATTCCCAGGTCTCTGGCTCCGTGTCTCCCTCCACTCTTCCCTCACTCGGCATCCCGTTCCTAGCCCAGGTGCCTTGTTGGTATAAAACCCCGTGGTGTAAATAGATCTGACTGAGGCTGCTGTGAGCATTTTGCTCCTAAGCTGCCCCATTCAACTGGACGTCTGCTCGGCTGGTGTCTCCCCCCACCCCCCGTTTCACCTGCACGTATGAGGGGCTTCTACGCCACCTCTGTATTCTCAGTCGGGCACTGAGGGTTCTATCGGGTTTTTTAAACCACAGTTTTTGCCCCGCTGGAGTGTCCCAAGGTACCAGAGTGTTTGAAACAAAACTAAAGTTTTACGGGCCCCAAATAGCTCCCCATAAGCCTGGTTTGCCCCGGGGCAGTGTGTTGATGGCGAAATAAGCGGTCGTTTCAGATTACCTCATATGAATTGTTATTTTGGGGTGGCCGGGCCGTAGCTTTTCCCAGACTTAGGAAAATAGTACTGCAGTTAACCAAGGGGAGCTAAGGCTCGAGGTGGAAAACTACGAATCTTTTTGAAAAGCCTAACCCTCTCCCAGCATCACGCCCTGCTCCCCTGACCTTGGGGGACCCTTCGCCACCGCTCCGGGGTGTCCCCCTGGGAGGGGGGGGGGTTGGCTCACGCACCCGTTTGATGAACAGGAGTGTCTTGCCCCTGAGGCTGGGCCCCCACCAAGCAGCTCCCTGTGCCTGTGTCCTGCTCCAGATCGATGCCTTCCAGCACATGCAGCACTTTGTGCAGACCATGCAGCAGCAGGCCCAGCACGCCATCGCCAGCGAGGACCAGCAGCACAAGCAGGAGCTGCACAAGCTTATGGCCAGGTGAGGCCCTCCGGGCCGGGGCCGGTCGTGCTCCGGTCCCACCAACGCCAGCCGCCTCTGCCGCACGGGGAGGGGGAGTGCTCAGGGCTCCGTGGGCCACCAGTTGCTGAGCCGGCTCTTTCCAGGAGGGACCCCGGGCGGCCATCGAATCATGCCGCTCCAGAGCCCCTGCTGCTGTTTTCCCAGGATTCAGCAGCCCGAGAGCATCCGCGTGCTGTGGTCCTCCCTCCTGGTGTCTGGCTTTAGAGTTAGACTCCTTATCGCTTCTCAGCCTCTCGGCTAAGAGCAAGTGTAGAGTTAGACTCCTCGTTTGCAAACGCCAGATACACCGCTACCTTGCTGTGTGACTTCAGATGCATGACTTAACCACTCTGTGCCTCAGTTTCCCCGCCATTTATAAAGGGGATAATGAGAGCTCCTATTTGTGAGGGTGGTATGAGGTGATATGAGGGTTAATAGAACAAACATGGCAACGATTTAGAGCCGTACCTGGAATGGAGTAGCAATCAGTTAATGTTGGCTCTTAGTGTTATTGGTGTATGTGTAATATTTTGATGTGTATCGTATCATTCATTATAAATGGAGGAGAAGGGAGAAGTGAGGGGGAAGCCAGGAGCAGTCGATCAGGAAAGTTACTCAACAGCCAACTCGCACCAAACACTGACATGGGGGTGGACAGGTCCATACAGACCTGCCCATCCCAGGTGCTGGCTGATGCTAGCATTGAAGGACACGTCGAGGGAAAGAGACGATACGTAAAATACGCATCCCCGAAGCCCGTTTTTTTCCCTCCTGTGCGGTTGAGAATTCTGATGGTTCCACCACGTCGCTTCCCGAGAGCAAGCATGACTGTCCGGGAGGCTTTCGTGCCCCCCTGACACAATCAGTTGTCCTCCCTGGTGGAGGTGGAGGGCGAGGGCTGGTGTGCGGGCACGGCGACACGGGGGCCTGTTTCTCTGTTTCCAGGTGTTTCCTGAAACTCGGGGAGTGGCAGCTGAACCTGCAGGGCATCAATGAGAGCACCATCCCCAAAGTGCTGCAGTACTACAGCGCCGCCACGGAGCACGACCGCGGCTGGTACAAGGTAACCGCGGCCCGGGCCGTGTCCCAGCCCCGCCTCCTCCGGGGCAGAGCCCGGCTCCCGGCGTCCCAAGCGCTTGTGCTTTAAGGCAGAGCCTCGTGGTGCCGGTCCGATTCTGGGCATTTGCTTGTTGGACTGCCAGAGGCCCCTTACGAGCTTAATCGATACAGAAAGATTGATCGAATCTTTTATCTGCGAGATACTTTACTGCACCGTTATTACGTGTGTGGCTCTGGGGAATGCTGTTGTCTTCTAGACTCTTAGCGGATTGTTTTCCTACGAGCATCTGGACACACAGTTCATCTCTGGAACTGTCTTCCCTTGGGTCATCCGCTCCTTCCCGGCTTCTTCCTGATTTCCATCCCTGCCTGGTCCTCATCTAAGAACTTGACTTTCTCTTATTTGTATTGGAAAGCTCTGGGTAACATCCTGTTACGGCATAGGAGACTTTTCAGGAAGATAAACAAAATTAGAAAATGTATCAAAGATGTGGTTGACCGGTAGAGGAGGGATTTTTGGAAGAACACATCTTTGAGGAGAGCACATACCCTGAGTTTTTAGACCTTCCTCAGGGACCTCCTGGTAATGGCGGCATGGTGTAACAGATGTCATCACTTCTTTCCAGTATTTCTTTAACTTGTTGATACTTTGTGATTTAATCCCTCTGGGATCAAAAGGCGCATCTGAAGACACAGAAGCATCCACAGTAAAAATCTTATCCTGATTTAAGCATGCTTCATTCTGATCGGAAAAATGCCTGTTTCGTGGTAGCAGCAGCAATTACCCTATCTAGAACAGCTTCAGTCCTACCCTGGAAAATATAGCCAGTAAACCCTTGACTAGCCGGAACCTTACCAAGTAGAACTATCTCCTAACCAGATGAGAAAAGAAACGAGTCATGAGGGGAAAAAAACGGACTCCAGGAATTTAAGTTTTTCCCTCGTATGAGTCCTTTGGGGTCTATGCTGTCTTACTGCCCATGGTGTGGTCCCATCGGTGTGCAGAGACTGGTTCCGTGTTGCTCACCGCGTCCCCTGGCTCAGTGCCCGTCATGCAGTGGATATAGAGGAGTGATCTGTTGACTAAATGAAGGTATTGGGAAACTGAGCCTGGGTCATGTAGAATTGTTACTCATCAAATAAAGGTCAATTGTGGTCAACCTACTCTGCTTAGGTGGAAAAATGGAGACATTTATGTTAAAGAAAGGTTTCTAGCAAGGGATGCAAAGGAACTGCCTGATTATCCAGAAAGTCCAACTCTTAGTGGATTATTTGATGCCCTGCCACCACTGCAAACTCACTCACAAGGCCCCCAAATCAAAGCGTGCCTCCTGCTGTCTACACCAGGCAGTGCTGTACCGTCCTTGAACATGGCACGGGGTGGATAGTTCGTCCTTTACCAAAATAAGCACCAAAGGCTTCTCCCAGCAAACAGTCATGGCGCATCGGCTCTCTGACAGGCTGCGCGCCCTGGCCGGATGGGAGAGCCGGATGGCGGAATGCCGGCCCCCATACGTGCTCTTGATGTGCTTCCCTTCCCACTGGCCTGGAACCTGGTCAAGACTTGCACCACTAAGTCTCTGCTGTCTTAAATAAGCTGTTTCATATACCAGCTGCCAAGGGAATCTTCCAAACCTAGAATGAAATGGGACCTCCTTGACCTAATATGTCAACCCATCCATAATCTGACCCCGCTGCTTCTCTAACCCTCCCCTCACCGTCCTCCTGCGTACCTGCACTCCAATCAGGTCTGTTTGCTTCCTGTGAATCGCCCTATGCTGGCCACCCCGCATCTTCGTCCCTGACCTCCCCAGGCCAGGAAGTCCCTGCTGCTGGCCTCTTGTCCCTGCCTTGTCTGTTGAAGGCTGCTCTTCAAGCCCTCCCCTAAATCCCTCCCCTCTGTGAAGCTTGCCCTGGCCTGCCCACTGCCCGTCTCTCCTTGCCCCCCCCCCCCCCCGCCACGTTCGCCTGTCGTTGGGTTGCTGGGCCCCTCACCAGACCAGAAGCGCCCTGAGGTGAGGACCCGGCTTGCCTCTCCTGGGGCGCCCCTCCCCCGCAGCACTCGCCACAGTGCTGGTACGGTAAGGGCCCCACAAAATGAAGGAATCGGGCTGCGTCTAGTAAAAGGCCCCATTCCCCAGGGTTTCAGTGAAGTGCAGTTTTGCTCTGCTGGCCACTGAGAGGGAAGGGCAGCCCCTTGGCACTCAGGCCTCCTCATCCTCGACTCTCGCCACACCCAGGCCTGGCACGCGTGGGCAGTGATGAACTTCGAAGCTGTGCTGCATTACAAACATCAGAACCAAGCCCGCGACGAGAAGAAGAAGCTGCGTCACGCCAGCGGGGCCAACGTCACCAGCACGACCACTGCTGCCACCACAGCGGCCACCGCCACCGCCACGGCCACCAGCACCGAGGGCAGCAACAGCGAGAGTGAGGCCGAGAGCACCGAGAACAGCCCCACCCCGTCCCCTCTGCAGAAGAAGGTCACTGAGGTACCCTTCCCTTCCTCCCTCACCGAGGACAGACCCAGGCAGCAGGCGCTCTGAGGAGTGGGGTGTTGTCAGGGCCCTCACGAACCTGGGCTTCACCCCGAAGTGCCACGTACAGCTAGACGATGTTGCTCATTTGCCATCCGCCATTGTTTGAGATGGTGCCCTTGTGCTCGTGTTTGTATTTGAGGCGTTGCTATGGCCCCAAAGCTGAAGATTGAGTTTCTTGTCGTTCTTCCCATGAGAATGAGCTCACTCCCTGAAAGCCCTGCACCTGCGCGCGTGGGTGGCCGTGCACATCTGCGGGTCCACTTGAGGACAGAGGCTGACGGGATCCGTCCTCTGCCTTCGCCTTTCCCCCCGCCGCGCCCCGCCTCCCTCCAGGCTGTCAGTTCAGAGAGCAGCGTGTTCAGACTCCGCGCCCCTCCTCCTGCCACCCTGCTCAGGAAGCCACTGTTAGCCCAAGATGATAGCGATTGTGACACAGTTGCCATTTATTGAGTGCTTGCTGTGTGCAGGTACTAGTCCAGAGGCTCGTCATGCATTAACTGATTTAACTTGGTAACCACTCCTTGAGGTAGATACTGTTGGGATGCTGCTAGGCCCCTCTTACGGATGGGAACACTAAGGCAAGAATGTGTGTTCCAACAGGATTTGTCCAAAACCCTCTTGATGTACACCGTCCCTGCCGTCCAGGGCTTCTTCCGTTCTATCTCCTTGTCGCGAGGCAACAACCTCCAGGACACGCTGAGGTATCGAAGGGCGGGCCCTGCTAGGCTGCGTGAGCCTCTGCGGGACACGGAATGACACAGAGGTCCCCTCCCCCGCCCCACCCTGATGGGTGTGTCCAAGGGGAACTGCTGACAGGCCTCCCCCTGCCACGACCCAGGAGGAGGAGTGGCCTGGGAGCACTCCGTGTGCTGTGTTCTGTCGGGAGGAAGCCCGAGTGCCGAAATGCCCTCGGCTTTTAGAGGCCACTTAGGAAGGCCTAAACATGGCACAGACCGGCCAGTCCGGAGACCATAGGTGACAAGGGGCAGCTAAGTCCCACATTTAGCCCGTTGACACTGTTCTACAGGTGATTTTCTATACGTGCAAAGATTATCCGTGATTAGCCCTGGGCTCATCTGTCCGATTTCCGAGCTTGCACCGTGCCGATCCCTCTGGGATTTTATCTGGGATAAAATAATAAGCATTCACTTGGGATGCCCCTCCTCGTGTGAGCCCAGTTCTAAACGGCCATCACCACCCACCCTCCCAGGCGGTCCCGAGACCAAACACTGGGGAGCCACCGATTTGAGGCCCTGCCAGTTAATTCTTTTCTCAGGAGCCTTGAAGGTTAAAACACACACACGCCCAAGCTGGGAGACTAAGTTTTCTGTGACTTTCTCATGTTTTGTTTCCAGAGTCCTCACCCTGTGGTTTGATTACGGTCACTGGCCGGACGTAAACGAAGCCTTGGTGGAGGGGGTGAAGGCGATCCAGATTGACACGTGGTTACAGGTAAGGCAGGGTCGGACTCACTCCTGGTCTGCCTCCTCCCGGAGTCGCGCGTGTTCAGTCAACAGTGGTAAAGAGGTAGGGGTCGAGCCACAGTTTCTTTAGTTTCTCCCAGAGGACTGAAGGGAACGAACCGTTTCAGAGCTTCCCAGCATCTACCGTGACAAGTTGTAAGAGCTGGTCGTTGCCCAGGAGAATAACTAGTTGTTTCTGTGTCTCACGTGCTGCATTCCGGGTCTTTCTGAATACCAGGTCATACCTCAGCTCATTGCAAGAATTGATACGCCCAGGCCCTTGGTGGGACGCCTCATCCACCAGCTTCTCACCGACATTGGCCGGTACCACCCCCAGGTACGTGAGCGCCTGGGCGGTTTCTCCTCGAACAGCTGGCCTTTTGACCTGGTGCTCAGCCTCTCCCAAAGCTGCTCTAGAGACGCAGGTGCAGGAACTGGGAGCCAGGCATCCCACCCGTCCAGCTGGAGGTCCCAGGCCCGGGGCCTTCCCAAAGACAAAGAGCCCCCCACCCGCCCCGAGACTGAGCAGCGCCCCCGCCTGGTGGACTCACAGGAGCGCTGACAGCCATTTCTCTTGTCCTCCTGAAAGTCAGAGTTTGCGAATGTTCCTTCTGTGTCTGCCTCAGGCCCTCATCTATCCCCTGACCGTGGCCTCCAAGTCCACCACCACGGCCCGCCACAACGCAGCCAACAAGATTCTGAAGAACATGTGTGAGCACAGTAACACCCTGGTCCAGCAGGCCATGATGGTGAGTCAGGAGTCCGTGTGGGCCTTCGTGGACCCCACCACCTAGCCAGAGGTCTTGAGGGAGATGGTTTCTTCCTCACAACAGTGCTGCTGAAAGGAGTACCTCCTGTCTCTCCAAGACATGCCTTTTTTTTTTTTTTTTTTTTTTTTTTTTTTTTTTTAAGAGAGGGCGAGAACATGAGCAGGGGAGGGGCAGAGAGGGAGAAAGGGAATCTCAGGCAGGCTCCGCACTCAGCATGGAGCCCAAGGCAGGGCTTCGTGACCCGAGCCAAGATCAACAGTCAGACGCTCAACCGACTGAGCCACCCAGGCACCCCCAAGACAGGCCTTTCCGAGGTTAGCTCATCCTCGGCGCTTGTCTCTTTCCCCTCTTTGGTCCAGGTGAGTGAGGAACTGATCCGCGTGGCCATCCTCTGGCACGAGATGTGGCACGAAGGCCTGGAAGAAGCGTCTCGTTTATACTTTGGGGAGAGGAACGTGAAAGGCATGTTTGAGGTGTTGGAGCCCCTGCATGCTATGATGGAACGGGGCCCCCAGACTCTGAAGGAAACGTCTTTTAATCAGGTATGGGATAAGAAAGTGCGACACGACGTGACCCAAAGCCGCTACCAGACCCCTTTCCCTCTGGCCTTTCTGCTGACTTGAATACAGTGTTCTCCGAACTGAGGTCACAATATAAAAACACCAGCACAAGTTCAGTTGTCACTAACTTATGGGAACCCTCCCCAGATTTTAACCAAAAAACCACAAGATTCTTCCCGAGGTCATCTCGCCTCTCCTCTGACCTTACTTTGCCCATAAGCCGTCCTGGGATTGGGGCCTCCAGGACCGGAGAGCTACGCCTCGCCAGGGGCCGGAGCCATCCGGCCACAGCGTGTGCCCGAGCGGCTCCGCTGTCTGGGCTTGGGGGTTCAGCCCGCGGCCTAGTCCGCACCTTGACAGCTCGCATCCCTCCCCCGCTTCCCCGCTCAGGCATATGGGCGAGACTTAATGGAGGCCCAAGAGTGGTGCAGGAAGTACATGAAATCGGGAAACGTGAAGGACCTCACTCAAGCCTGGGACCTCTACTATCACGTGTTCAGACGAATCTCAAAGCAGCTGCCTCAGGTGGGTCTCCAGGTTCTGGCGGGGTGAACTGTCAGTAGAGTCCTGTGTGTCTTACCTTTTATGAACGTTCTGATGCTAACTCTGAAGCATCTGGTTGCACTTCTGTCTGCAGACAAGTCATTGCTATCAGCAGTCCATTGAAAACTACCTAAATGGCATTGAAATTCCTCCCTGGAGGTAGAAAACTAAATCCTGTGGTTAATTATTTACAGCTCACATCCTTAGAACTGCAGTATGTTTCCCCCAAACTTCTGATGTGCCGGGACCTTGAATTGGCCGTGCCGGGAACATACGACCCCCACCAGCCGATCATCCGCATTCAGTCCATAGCGCCGTCTCTACAGGTCATCACCTCCAAGCAGCGGCCCCGGAAGTTGACCCTCATGGGTAAGGACCCCTGTGCTCCCGCCACCTGCGTCTCCCTCCCACCCTGGCCGAACCCCTCCCCTTTTCTGAAATTACCGCCTACCGTTGACACCACCCATCTTTCATATGCGACACCTCGCTCCTGCTTATTGAGAGAGAAACAGAGGGCAAGCGGGCTCCTTATTACGTCCTCCTCAGGACTCCCACTGCGTTCATATCACGTGCTCGCTTACCTGAAGCCGGACGGCCCTGCAGCGGGACAGGTGGAGGGAACCGTAAAGGTGTTCAGCGTGGGGACGTGGGGGTGGGGGGCGGCTGTAGGGGACTGACCAGGCCAGCAAAGAGGAGCCTGGATGCAGGTGTGGCAGGGGACGAGCAGGGCTAGAGAAAGTGCTCCCGGGCTCTTGAATATTCTCTTACCGTCACAGTCTCTCTCTGTGGGAGATGGTTGTGTAAAAGGAACAACCGAGGTAGAAACGAGTTCTCACGGGCAGCTCTGTCACCTCGCGTAGTTGCAGGACGCCTGGATGCTCTGGTGGTCCTTTAAAGGGTTCTCACCTTTAAAAAGGCTCGTGCTAATTATTTATTTAATAAAGTCTTATTCATTTTTGAGAGAGAGAGAGAGAGTGCACACGCATGCAGAGGGGGGTTGGGGACAGAGGATCCGAAGCCGGCTCCGAACTGACACCGGCGAGCCCCATGCGGGTCGCGAACTCCTGAACCGTGAGATCATGACTTGAGCTGAAGTTGGACACTCAACCCACTGAGCCACCCAGGCGCCTCAGAGAGGCTCGTGCTTTTTAAATGCAGTAGTTATTCACCACCAGTTAGTCGTGGTACACAAGTGATTGTGTCCGTGGGCTGGCGTCTCCTGTACTAAATTGTGTGTCACTCAGGTTCTCCACGGTGTCTCGTTAGAGACTTGGATGAAGGACCCGTGTCCAGGGTGTGACAGGGTTAAGAGAGCCAACAGTGAGAAGCTGTGACTTGCCCCCACCCTCCAGACCCGAGAGGGCAAGGAGCCCGTCAAGGGCATGTAACCTGGGAAAAGGGGCCATTCACCAGAAGCTGTAGCCCAGACGGAGGGAACACGGCTGTTTCTAGAACTGGAGCCTGGCCGCTCGTCAGGGGCAAACCCTTGGGCCTCTCCCTCTTCCCACCCTCTGACCTCCTGCCATGGTCCCAGCCCAACCGGGAGCCTGGGTGATGAGGTCTCTAGGGGTCAGGCTTCACAGGGCCCAAGCACACCAGAGAAGGGCGGAGAGTGGGTTGTGAGGGAACGTCCGGAGTGACCATCTCTGTGCAGAGTCCTTCCTGATCCTCAGAGACAGAGCTTTTTAAAATTTTATTTTTCACTTGAGACCATTTTTCATTTTTCACTGGGAGACCATCAAAACTAGCGCCATTCTTTTCATGAGGTCCAGGGCGTTTTTTCGTGTTTGGGGGAAGTGTGACTGGGTTGGGTCTGCAGAGTCTGTAGGAGCTCGTGAGTCCGGGGCCGGTCTGTGCTAACTGCTCCCACCATTCCTCACAGGCAGCAACGGGCATGAGTTTGTTTTCCTCCTGAAGGGCCACGAGGACCTGCGGCAGGACGAGCGAGTGATGCAGCTCTTCGGCCTGGTGAACACCCTCCTGGCCAACGACCCCACGTCTCTTCGCAAGAACCTCAGGTATTCAGGACATGGGGCGGGGGGGCACGGTAGTGACAGGTCTTCTAGGGTCTCCTTACGTCCCTTCACGAAATCAGTTATAGAACTATGTACCCGGACAGGAAGTCCTCAACAGCCAAGGTGGCAAACACAGAGAAGAATTCGTATTTTTAACGTGCTTGCACGGGAAATGCCTGTGACAATGCCAAAGGGTCCGGAATAGAACAACCCGTGGCCACTAGACTAGAGATGCTATACATTTGGTGTGTTTGACCTTCCCTGTCCACCCTGCTCTCCCTCCTCTTCCTGTTAAGAACACGGATGTTGGGGCGCCTGGGTGGCGCAGTCGGTTGAGCGTCCGACTTCAGCCAGGTCACGATCTCGCGGTCCGGGAGTTCGAGCCCCGCGTCGGGCTCTGGGCGGATGGCTCGGAGCCTGGACCCTGTTTCCGATTCTGTGTCTCCCTCTCTCTCTGCCCCTCCCCCGTTCATGCTCTGTCTCTCTCTGTCCCAAAAATAAATAAAAAACGTTGAAAAAAAAAAAAAAAGAACACGGATGTTAAGTGGTGAGGCTGTTTTCGGCTGAGAATCGCTGGGCCGCTCCCCCGAAGCAGGGAGGTTGTCAGGCAGGTTGAGGAGGCTGATCCCGTCCCGGTCCACAGCCATATCCTTCTGGGAAGGGCCCTCGTTGCACACCTCACGACAGCCCTGTGCAGGGGACTTCGTTCGGCCCATTTACGTGTGTTGCGAGCGGGTCAAAGATGCACTCTTTTTACTGTCCGATAACCCTCCTTTCCTGTGGGTGCCAGCATCCAGAGATACGCCGTCATCCCCTTATCAACCAACTCGGGCCTCATCGGCTGGGTCCCCCACTGCGACACGCTGCACGCCCTCATCCGGGACTACAGAGAGAAAAAGAAGATCCTTCTCAACATCGAGCATCGCATCATGTTGCGGGTACGTGATGAGGCTGGCAAGCCCAGCGCTTTCACGTCTGGACATAACTCACAAGTTGAGAAATTTAGGCAAAGCTGCACTTGTCGTTCTTCGGTGCTTGTATATCACCGAAAAGTCTATTGAGGAGAATTAGCTACGGAAGAAGTTTTAATGAAGTGAGTCCTACAGCAGATTACCTCTAAGAAACAGAAGGACCCTAAAGCCCAGAAATTAGGTTTCGGTCATTCCAGGTGAGACTGGACGGGATCGTTTATCGGGCAGTGTGTATCTTCTGAACACCTAATGTATACAGGGCACTGGCCCTGTGGGGAAATGTCTAGTGGATGCGTAAGTAGTAAGGAAGAGACTCGTTTGTTACCCGGAACCTTGACGCCCGCACTGCTGTCATTCCCACCAGCAGGCCTGTACTCAGGGTGGGGCCTGATGTTTTATCCTCAGGCCCTGGCAGTTCCCCTGTGGTCATTGGGTTTGAGGGGCCACACCCTTTTGCCTTCTGCACTGTTCTTCCCTCCTCTTCCTTTGGGCCGGGGTGGTGAAACTAGCACCCAGCTCTGCCCGGGCCCAGAGCCTTGTTTCTTCCTGGGTCCAAGCTGCTAGTCTGGGGCCGCTCTCAGAATGGTTGTGTCCTGATGCAGATGGCTCCGGACTACGACCATCTGACGCTGATGCAGAAGGTGGAGGTGTTCGAGCACGCCGTCAATAACACGGCCGGGGATGACCTGGCCAAGCTGCTATGGCTGAAAAGCCCCAGCTCCGAGGTACGACACGCCACGCCCTCTGGCCCACTTGCTTGTCGGGGATGGCCTTTTTGTTCCTTCACATGTGCTGGCGGGCTCGTCTTTGTAACGATTCTAGATTATGTGCGGTTTTTTCTAGCAGCAATTAAATGGGTGAGCCGTGCAGCTTAGCAGATAGAGATTTAGTAACTTAACGCTTCTCCCATTTCTTGCAATAGAATTTGAGTTCTTTACGTTAAGGCTGTTACATCTTTTTCACGTACGGTATAAATTTCCTGTCCATTTGGTTTTTTAATTTTGTTAATGGTATGTTTCCTGGTTTGGGATTTTTGTTTCGTTTTTGATACGCAAACTTTTTTGAAAGTTAGAAGTTACCAGGTTTTTTATCCTTTTCTTTGAAGTTTCTACCTTTGGCCTTACATTTAGAAAGGCCATCCCCACCTCAAGGTTATGTGTCTTTTTACATTTATTTTCTTGTACTGATTCTAAGATTTATTTATCCATTTAAATCCTCAACCCAGGGGCGCCTGGGTGGCTCAGTTGCTTAAGTGTCTTGTTTCTTGACTTTGGCTCAGCTCGTGATCTCATGGTTCGTGAGACCAAGCCCTCACATCAGGCTCTGTGCTGACAGTGCAGAGTCTGCTTGGGATTCTGTCTCTCCCTCCCTCTGTGTCCCACCCCTGCTCGCACACTGTCTTCCTCTCTCTCAAAAATAAATAAATAAACATTTTAAAATATATAAATCCTCGACCCAGTTCAAAATTTAAGAGTAAGATTAAAAAAATTTTTTTTTAAGTTTGTTTATTTTGAGATGAAGAGAGTGAGCACGTGCAGGTGGGGAGGGGCAGAGAGAGAGAGAGAGAGAGAGAGAGAGAGAGAGAGTCCCAAGAAGGTTCCACACTAAAAGCGTGGAGCCCAAAGCAGGGCTCAACCCCATGAACCTCAAGTTCATGACCTGAGGTGAAGTCAGACACTTAACCAACTGAGCTGAGCCACCCAGGCACCCCTTAAATTTTGTTTCTTTAAGATGATTAGCCAACACCGTAGTATTCAGCAAATAATGCATCCTTTCCCTACTTTTAAGAGAATTAATTTTTATTATACAAAAATTTTTGTCTGTGCCATTGGATTTCTCTCTAGGGCTTCTGTTTTATTTCATTGATCTTTATTTCCAAAGCCTATTCTCAAGTACCATACTGTATTTCAAGTACCATACTATTAATACAACTATTAGTATAAAGTCTCTTCTCATTGGCTATTTTAATTTTTTTCTTCTTCCAGATAAATTTTGGGATCATTTTGTCACACTCCCCCCAGAAAAGTACCGCTGAATTTTTAGTGGAATTACATTAAATGTATCAAATAATTTGGGAGGTTATTATATTTTTTCTGTCTTACATGGATATTTTCATCTACTCAGGTCTTTATATTCCAAAGCAAAGGTTAATTTTTTCTATTCATCTGGGTTCTGAACATCTCTAAGTTTATTCCAAGCATACTTTATTGTTATAATAATAAATGAGATTTTTTATTCTATTTTATGTTATTAATGAGTTACCGATGAAATATTAAAACGCAACTGATTGAGGTATAATTATGTTGAAGCTAGTTAGCTTCCAGAGCCTTGGTTCAAGTGTGCCCCTGTGTTCCAGGTGTGGTTTGACCGAAGAACCAACTACACCCGCTCTTTAGCGGTCATGTCCATGGTCGGGTATATTTTGGGCCTAGGAGATAGGTGAGCAAACTTAATTTGGTTTTTTTAGTCTTTTTTCTACATTGTACCTTTCTTAAACAGTTTCCTTTTGTTTTCTAGTAAGGTTTATGACCATCTAGTAAATATTTGTATTTTGTACCCCAGGCCCTCGTTTGCAGCATCAGCCTTAGGTCCCAATTTATTATCCACACAACAGCCACACAACAAACTAAAGAGAAGAGAAAGCTTAGTCCTAGGGTACTGCTTTCTCCATAGGTTGGTTTGATATATTTAAAGCCACGTACAAGGGCACCTGGCTGGCTCAGTCAGTAGGGTGCGTGACTCTTGATCTCAGGGTTGCAAATTCAAGCCCCACAGTGGGTGCAGACCTTACTTAAAAGACAAAGAACAGTCTTGATTGGTTGTATTGATTCAGTAAACGTTTATCGGTCACCTCTGTGCTGAGATAAATAATTCTATTTCTGTAAATGAAACCAACCAAAGTAGATCCTCCTGGAAGTTCTACATAAGAAATTGTATCCAAATATACTGACTGAAAAAGTAGTTAAGGAATATTCAGAAATTGACTCACCAGAAGTCTTTGAAAAACTAGTTCTCTGGTATCTACTCTCTCTTGGGCTCATGTCTTGTGCAATTATTTGAGAGTAAAATAATTTTTTCCCACAAAAATAATAAATTCTTGTTTTTGAAAAGAACCAGGAGAATTCAGAGGTGAGACCCTGTGATAGATGCTGAGGGGTATTGATAGAGCCTTGTCACTCTGAGATGCCAGCACCACCAGGAATGATTTATCTTGTGACCAAAGACCTTGGGAAAGCAACTTGGGATTCACATAGATAAGCCTTCGTTTCAGACCTGGAGCAGGGATCAGCAAACTTTCCCTGTAAAGGGCCAGATTAGAAATAATGTAGTCTTTGCTGGCCATATGACGTCTCACAGCTACTCATGTCTGCTATTGTAGCACAAAAGCAGCTTGAGACAAAACGTGACCAGTCAGCACGGCTGTGTCCAGTAGAACTTTGTTTACAGAAGCAGGCGGGGGCTGGCTTTGGCCTGTGGACGGGGCCTGGAATATCACATCCTTGTTGATTTATTCATCAGTGCTGCTCTAGTGACCTCTCCCCGGTCTCTCTCCTGTTTCCCAGACACCCATCCAACTTAATGCTGGACCGGCTGAGCGGGAAGATCCTGCACATTGACTTTGGGGACTGCTTTGAGGTGACCATGCGTTCTCAAACACCACATAAAGCTTTCCTTTCCAGATGACCACTTTCCACCCTCTGACCATTCCAGCAAATTTAAGCCCAAAATGCTTATCCTGACTCCTGCCTCTCCTACTAAAGCAACAGAAAGTCAATCTAAGAAACAAAATCAGTGCTCATTGATACTTGCTGTAGTTGGTCTCTGACTTCTCTGGAGGCAAGCAAGGCTGTTCACACACCCTCTCAAGTGGAGGAATCCTCCTTCCCGACACAGCCTGCCGGTCAAAGGCCTGGCATGATGCACGTTTGTCCTTTTTCTTTTTTCCCCTCTATCCCTTTGTCTCTCTCTCTCTCTCTCTCTCTCTCTCTCTCTTTCTCTCTCTCTCTGGTTCTCTTTTAAATCCCTGTGACAAGTCCCCTCGCTAAACTCAAGCTACTTCATCTCTGCGCCCTAATTCAAATCAGTACAAAGAAAAGCCGTCTGCCTTCGCCTGGCTTCTTTTAAGAAAACAATTGAACCATCAGACTTGGTTTTTCTCTCTTTTCCCCACAGGTTGCTATGACCAGGGAGAAATTCCCAGAGAAGATTCCATTTAGACTAACCAGAATGCTGACCAATGCTATGGAGGTGAGTGGGCATTGGGAACGAGCTACTTTGCAATGGGGGCTGGTGTGGTCAGGACCCGCTCTGAAGCAGACTTGCTTGTTAGATCTCATCAGTCCCCTGAAGGACCTGGGTGGCTTCTGCGGTGGTTTCCTGGTATCTTCCTTGTGGTAGAAACGATCCATCTTTGAGATGCTTCACGTCAGACCTTGTCTCCTACGAGCCACAGGCCTGACCCCACCCCTTGCTCCGAACACCTTCCCATCCTGCTACATCAGTAATGGCCTGTGTCTGCTTCCTAAGTGTGGGGAGCAGACCCTCTTGACTTGCTTCTGCTTGTGGGGCCTTCAGGGGTGGGGCTGGTACCAGCGACTTCTGTGGCGAATGGCTCTGGTCCTGCAGGTTACTGGTCTGGATGGCAACTATAGAATCACGTGCCACACAGTGATGGAAGTGCTTCGGGAACACAAGGATAGTGTCATGGCCGTGCTGGAAGCCTTTGTCTATGACCCCTTGCTGAACTGGAGGCTGATGGACAGTGAGTATGAGCAAATGTCTGGGAGCTGGAACCCACACCCTCCAGACAGGGAACATCTGATGTGTTCCATTTCACTGATCTTTCCCCTGCCGGCCTGGAGCCTGAGGTGTATTACTGGGCTATCGCATTGTATTTTTTTTTTTTTAATGTTTATTTATTTTTGAGACAGAGCGTGAATGGGAGCGGGTCAGAGAGAGGGAGACAGAATCTGAAGCAGGCTCCAGGCTCCGAGCCGTCAGCACAGAGCCCGATGCGGGGCTCAAGCTCACCGACTGTGAGATCATGACCTGAGCCGAAGTCGGACGCTCAACCGACTGAGCCACCCAGGCACCCCTATTGCATTGTATTTTTACAGAGCTGTTCTGGTGGCTGGAAATGAATTTCAAGGGGGTTTTTTTTGTTTGTTTTTCTAAGTAGAACAGAAAACACCAATCATCAATTTAAATATTAATTAAGGGGCGCCTGGGTGGCTCATTTTGTTAAGCGTCTGACTCTTGATTTCAGCTCAGGTCATAGTCGTGATTCTTGAGATCGAGCCCCGAGTCAGGCTCTGTGTTCTCAGTGCGGAGCCTGCTTGGGATTCTCACTCTCTTTCTCTGCTCCCCATCCCCTCCCTGCCACCCCCCGCCACCCCGCTTGCTTGCTCTCTCTCTCTCTCTCTCTCTCTCTCTCTCAAAAATAAATAAACGTAAAAAACAAAATCCATTTAGGGGTGCCTGGGTGGCTCAGTCAGTCAAGCATCCGACTTCGGCTCAGGTCATGATCTCGCAGTTCGTGAGTTCGAGCCCTGCGTCTGGCTCTGTGTTGACAGCTCAGAGCCAGGAGCCCACTTCAGATTCTGGGTCTCCCTCTCTCTCTGCCCCTCCCCCTGCTCACACTGTCTCTCTCTCTCTCTCAAAAATAAACATTAAAAAATATATAAAAATAAGACATCCATTATGAATGAATGAATGAATGAATAAATAAATAAATAAATTCAGGATAAATTAAGTACCCTAGTGATTTCTGTCTGTTTGCATTTCATATAGAGTAGGAAGCAGGCATCTTGACAGGGGACACAGGCAGTTGTGACCTAGGGCAGCAACCTCTCCGTCTCCCCTTGTTCCTCCTCCTTAGAAGGGGGTGACTAACACAGGTGTCTCTACCACTGCCAACAAACCCTGTTTTCACCCTCTGTTATCTGGTCCCCAGCATCTACATTCAGCTCCGTGACATAGCGCGTCCCACAGGACAGGACACCCATGCTCACATTCACCTGCCGACTCCTGAGGGATCCGTCCTGCGTTCTCCCCAACGCTCTAGCTTTTCAAAAAATTCTATTTTTATGGTTGTAAGAAAACATCGTCTCAACCAAATGTCTTTCAAGTGACAGCTGGAAGCACTTTTTATCCTCTCCTTATTTCTTTCCCCAGCAAATACCAAAGGCAACAAGCGGTCCCGAACAAGGACAGATTCCTACTCTGCTGGCCAGTCAGTAGGTAGGTGCATCCCATGGGAGACTGCAGATTCTGTCCCTTTTGTGCAGAGTTTGTCTCAAACGGGGTGGGCTTTGTTCTTGCCATTAGGAGGCATGATGGAAAGCGGTAATGGATGCTGAATATGAAGGAAGGAAGCATGTGTTTCCAGAGGCTCTTACCAGTGATACGGTCATGCAGAAGTTGTGTCACTGCTAAAATATCGTCTAATGGGCATTTATGTAACTTCAGAAAGTTAGTCTAGAAATATTTACTGAGCACACGTTTTTTTTTTTTTTTTTATTTAATGCCTCTCAGGATGGGGTGGGTACCTGAGGCTCAGAAATTTTGATCAAACTTTCCAGTCTTAATCTATCTGTAAACACAATTGAAAGTATGTCTGAATATTAGCCAGTATATGCCCTTGAACGCTGTCTGGATTGGGATAATTATTAGCTGTGTCCACGGGCCTAGAGAATTGTTAGTAGCTTGGAAATAGCAGCGGACGCGTATTCACACTGTCGCCTGAGGAAAACCACAGGAAGTGTACTCACGGGAAGTGTATTCGCACTGCGGGCTGAGGACCCAGGAAGCTACTGGAAGTGTACTCACACTGCTGTCTGAGGGGCGGGGAAGCCACAGGAAACACTGCTGTCAAGAGTGGGTCCACAGAACAGGGTCCCTGGAAGATAATGCCCTTCAAGAGCCAGAACGGGGTTCGTGTGAACCTCTCAAAAGTCTTAAGAGTAAAGCGGGTTAACTTTGTTTCACCTTCCCCGTCCCTCCTCCCCAGTTTCCCCCGTAACATCTAACAACATCCTACATAGTCGCACCTTGGAAATACTGTTGGGGTGTAAAAAAAGGTAAATATTCTCTACAAATACCTATGGAACATTTGCAACTTGTTACTTAGCTAAGCCAAATAATGTTTAAGGGTGCAAAAAGAATGTGACATACAGAGATTACCTGAAAGAAGCATAGAATCACATCACAGAATCGATCAACATGTATAGTCCACGAACTGATCAGAGAACTGTCATTCCCCCCCCCCCCCACCCCCGCCGTGTGGTCCCGCAGCTCACGGTTTGCAGTTTGGTTCAGAGGAGAGGCTGTGGGGCTGAGAGCAAGGACCTACCACTCTGAACTGAGCAGTCGAGAAGGGAGGTCCCGGGTCAGTGCGATTTAGGCTGGCCATTTCAGACGAGTGGGAGGGAAGAGGGTGTTCTGGGCAGGACATTGAGGTCCTGGGCTATGGTGCAATCTGTGAACCGGTGCGGACTCTACCGCGGACACTGCGACAGGATTTGTGAATGATGCCAGGATTACCTGCGGTGTCTGGGATACTTTGTGCGGGTGACTGGTCTTGTCCAAGGTATGTGAGACTTTCGTGCTCAGGGTCCACCTCGTTCGTACATTATCGCGTGACTCCTCTGTGCTGCCTACGGGGAATTAGGACAGCTGGTTCCGGTGGCACCAGAGAGTGGTGGACCTGGCTGGTGTCATGGGGCTTAAAAGTGAAGTTTCATAGAAGTATTACGACTACTCGCTTCATTTTGAAGGCCTGTGGTGTGCAAGGGCAACGTGCAAATAACCTCATACTCCTGCTTCCAGACTCTTTTCTCCTGAAGGCCACAATTGGTGGAGAGTGACCCTAAAGCCTGAGGACTTTTTCTGCCCAGAAATGGCATATAGATTCCTCCAAAGAATAACACTCGGGTCATGAGCGTGACCCAGGGAAGGCTCGTGTTTTTTCTAGCATCAGATTTTGTCGAGCCAAACAGGTCTTATCAACAGGGCTTTCATTCCCGCTCCTGTTCTCTACGTCAGAACATCTTATAAAGGCCGTTTGCTTGAAAGTTCGTGTTTGGAGACGTAAGATCTTTCAAATCCATAGTGACCCTTCTTCCTCTCCTTTCCCCTCAGAGGTAGCAGGGCGAGCTTGAAAGGGGAGGTGGTGTGTGGAGAAGTAGAGCTAACACTTGAAACAGTGGTTTCTTGGTGGTGGAATGTTCTGCCAGTCGATTCTTTTTCCTCCTAGAAATTTTGGACGGTGTGGAGCTTGGGGAACCCGCGCATAAGAAAACAGGGACCACGGTGCCAGAGTCCATTCATTCCTTCAGTAAGTGCAACGTCCGAGGAACTGCACCGAGGACCGGCTCATGAAGAGCACAGCGGCTGTGTTGTGCCATGAGAGGGGCCAACAGGGCGAGGCAACAAAACTGCCTTTGAGCAGACAACGCTCTGTGAATTCCTCTTTATATTCCGAGCACAAAGATAGACACAGAGGGAGAATTACCCAACACTTACAAAAGTGAATATTTGAGAAAAACAGGGGCGTCTGTTGAGACTGTTGAGATGATCCAATCCTACTGTTATTTCTACTTTTGTGTATTCCAGTTGGAGACGGTTTGGTGAAACCAGAGGCCCTAAATAAGAAAGCCATTCAGATTATCAACCGGGTTCGAGACAAGCTCACTGGTGAGTGTGTGCGTGCGTTCACTTAAAAGGAACATAGAATCTTGAGAGATTTCTCTGTCCTCGAGTGGGTGGTCAGCCTCTTCCCAGTGGTGTTGGCGCCTAAACTTGGACTCTGCAGCTCACTGGAGGGTCTCTGAGGCTGTATCTGTTAAGGACCCTCTCTGATTCTCTAAAGACCAATAAACCCACTGTAAGTAGACGTTAATCTCATTTTAACAGACAGAGGTGGGTACAGTCCTTTTAGAGCCAAAGTCCGCCAAATTCAGGAAAAATTTTTTTTTCTCATCCTGGCTTGATACTGGAGCAAATCTGACCACTCTGATTCACTGCCTTCCTGCACTTTGGTGGCTGTTAACGGAGTGGAGAGCGTGGAGGGAGAGAAATGCATACTTTTGAAAACGAGACGTGTCATACAGACCAGGGGGTATGATGGGGTGGGGGTGGGGGGGCAGTGGTCACGGGGGACCGAAGACCCCAGCTCTGCTGCATCCTGTGTGACTCCTGGGCCTCCCTGTCTGCTCGTCTGGAAGATGACGACAGCGCCTCTCTCAGGTGGCGGGGCTCAAGTGAGCCATGGGATGCCAAGCCTTAGCATGAGGGGCTGGCACAGACGTGTTGTGGTCAAGTTGTATTTATTTATTGAGCGCCTACAAGCGCTAGATGCTGAAGAAACTGTGCTGGTAAAAGCAGCTGGATTTCCTGCCCTCGTGGGGTCAACGTCTAAAGGAGACACTGTGTCAGGTGCAAGAAAGGGCTTGGGCTGTGATGCCGGTAACGGGGAAATCTAAGTGCTGGTGTTCAGGAAAGCTTCCCTAGGCAAACAGCCCTTGAGCTAACACCCGAAAAAGGACGTAATTAGAGGCAGACTGTTCTAGGTAAGGGAAATGGCACATGCAAGGGCCCCGTGGTGGGAAGGAAGCTGGCAAGAAAAATGGTCTGAAAGCCGACAAGTGTGACTGCCGCAGAGAGCGACACGGGAGGAGCACAGCGCAAAATGTTTCGCTCTGAGGGGGCTGGGGCGGGGTCACGCGGGGCCTTGCGTTTTCGTTCTCCATTCTCAGGGCAGTGGGAAGGCCCTGAGGTCTTGAAGTGGGGTGGAGAGGCGGGAATGGTCCGCTGGGTTTACCCTGGGGAATCCTGCCTGTCCTGCCATGTGGAGGCTGCATGGAGGAAGGAAGCAGGTGCCGAAGTGACGGCTGGACAGTTGACTAGACTGAGGTGGCCTCTAGAACTTCAGGAGGCAAAATCCAAGGGACTGATAATGATGGGGCGTGAGGATGGGAGGCACCCAGGAAGCCCCGAGTCACTGGCAGCCTTCTGAGAGTGCGACAAGGCTGGCAGCCAGACCAAAGGGGTTGAAGAGGATGTGAACTTGGGGAGAGAAGCCAGACAAGGGAGACAAGTATCAAAAGTGTGAGAAGCTGGCTGTGCAGGGACCGGAGGATCCCTGGCTGCAGAGGGAGTAGTTGGGCGGGAGCCCTTTGTTCTTTAATGGGCAAGAGGACCTAGTTTACAAAATTTAAAGACAGGGAAGGAGGGCAAGTGACCGTGCGAAGCCCCCCTAGGCACCGGGAGGCCTTGGGATCCGAGTGCAGAGGAACTTCGCCTTCAGCGGGAGGAGAGGTGCCTCCAGACGGTAGCAGCAATGAGGAGAGAGCTCGTGTCCAGCAGATCCAGCGCCTCGAGCGCTGCCTGACACATCAGGGGTCCGAAACTATGAGCTCAGTGAATGAATTAACTTGTAAAGGAGGGGCCGAGGGCACGTGCTGGCGGTGAGAAGCCAGCGGTGAAAAGCCAGCTCGACCATCTTGAGCCCTCGGGGAGGTGGACAGGCACGTCCACCACGGCTTCATCGGCCGGCCACGAGTGCCTGTTCTGGTTTATGACGGAGGCAAGCCGGCCCGTGGGAGCAAAGGCTCAACAACAGAGGTTATAGGATTGAAAGGGGGGAAGGGTTTCCCGTCCACTTGCCTGAAGATGGCAACAGATAAAGGAATCTCCGCAGACCCATCAGCCAGACCTGCATCACCCCTGGGCTCAGCCAACCGCAGACCTTTACCCTTACCCTCTTCACACCCAGTCTCTGTCTGGAGGAGGAGACTGGTGTGTATTCATGTCTCATGGAGGTGAATTTAAAATCCAGCCACCGCGTAGCCTTCATACTCACAGGCAAGGAGAACCTGATACAGGCTGCACAGACAGGTCAGCCGACCCCGGGGCAAGGACGGAGCTGAAAACCAAGTGCACAAGAGCTGTTTTTGTTTCTCTTGTCCTAGGTCGGGACTTTTCTCATGACGAAACCCTGGATGTCCCCACTCAAGTTGAGCTGCTGATCAAGCAAGCAACATCCCATGAAAACCTATGCCAGTGCTACATCGGCTGGTGAGTGGGCGTGCCGGAGCGCCTGTGCTAAAACCAGCCAGTGGGGCCCCGTCCTGTGCCCCAGTCCCAGAGCTGCAGAAAGCCTGGGGTGGGGGGGTTATCCATAAAGGGTAATCGTAGTGTCAGATCTCTTTAAAAGTTGGTATTCACCGTGTGCACTCACAGTTCTACAAAGGGAGCCACTTGAGAAACACGGGTGCCTACTTGGAAGGCAAACACCGAAATAAAATTACATTAAAAAGTGGTTTAGAAAAGTAGGTGAGTCCCCCTTTCCTTAGGGGTGGGGAGAGAGGTTCTTTTTGGATTTTTTGCTGTCAATTCAAAGATGGAGGGAAGGGCCACAGAAAAGAAGCCAGAGCAGTGAGAGAGCAGGAGACGCAAAGACTAATTAGTGCTCTGGGACTGTAACCTCAAGGACCACGCTGGGGTCTGCTCTGATGAATTGCTGGAGGCACGTTTGAAGATAGAAACTTGAGGGGGGGGGGATGGCGAAGTGTCCTTCTGGGACCGTAGCAGGCATCAGCCCTTGACTGGAAATGAGTGTGTCTGACACAATTAGTTGTGGGAGATCTCAAGGAATGTCCCCAGGGGTTGTCAGACCTTGGTCTCTCCACTTTCAGTGTATCTGTGTAAAGCCCTGAAAAAGCCCAAATTATTAAAATATTCCTTTTCTCTCTGTCTTCCTAGGTGTCCTTTTTGGTAACCCGAGGCCCAGAAGGGCCCACAGCGTTTCTCTTGAGGCTTTTGTACTTTGGATATGCTTCCACTAAACTGCAACCATGGCCAGGAAGTTCGACTTTGTTAAATATCTTGAAATGTAAATGAAAAGAACTACTGTATATTAAACGTTGGTTTGAACCAACTTTCTAGCTGCTGTTGAAGAATATATTGTCAGAAACACAAGGCTTGATTTGGTTCCCAGGACAGTAAACACAGAAATACTACATAAATCAAGCCATTGATTTGGGGGAACAGAAGATCCATAACTTAGAAATACGGGTTTTGACTTAACTCACAAGAGAACTCATCATAAGCATTGCTGATGGAAGAATGGCCTCCTTGTCCTTCCCGATAAGGACATGGCAAACTCTGCACAGTCAGGAAGCCTCAGGCCATGGAGGACACGTGTTAGAAATCGGGAGGAGCTGACTTGGTCACTTCCACCCATCCCATCCCGTTACCTCACTGGTCCGCGGACGGCAACAACATTTGTAAGATGGGCCAAAATGGGTGGCAAGCGCCTGTCTTCTGCCTCACTCGTGATGCCGCGACTTAACTCACTTCAATCCAAGGCCCCAGCGCTAGGAGGGGTTTCTTCCAGTCGCTGGGTGGCCTTAGCTGAGCAAATGCACAGAGATCGTGGTGCGGTAGGGTGGCCCACAGTGGCCTTCCCCAGCACGGTTTTGGGATGTTGTCAGTGAAGTCCGAACGCTCTGTGTTTAGAGCAAGGGCTTGGAAATAGAAATGCCTTCGTGGAGGTGCTCAACACAGAGAGGGAAGGTCTGGTACCCGCTGGGAATTCTGAGCAAAGGAAATATTAAAGTAAATGCACAAAGTATCAAGTGTAGCCATTCTAGACACCATGTTGTATCTGAATAATTTTTGTGCCAATAAACGACATCAGAATTTTAAAAACATGTAGGAGTGTCTTTTCATAATTACAAGTTCATAAAGGAAGCGGGTAGTCCTCCAATAGTCAGCATTATGCACGTGGCACTAAGGGCTATGCAGGATGTGGGATCTTCGTGACATGGTCCCCTTCCTTGGGATGTTCACAGGCCAGACAAGGCGGGTCAGCATCGTGTAGGAGTGGACTGGTAACTCCCACCAAGCTAAGTGGGGAGAAGAATCACATCCAGGGTGTGAGCCTCTGCTGGGGGCACTAATTCCACCGGGTGAGCCAGGAAAGCCTCATGGAGAGGGGACATCTGCCATGGGTTTTAAAGGATAAGTGGGAGCTTATCAGATGAAGCAAGTGAAGACATTCTGCGGAAAAGCGGTCTGAAAGTACAGTATCCTGCAGGAATAGCAAGTGTGAACTTGAACTGTATTGAATTGCAAGTCTTAGACCATTTTTGATATGTAAAACGGCAGCTTCACCCAGTCGGACCTCACAGTTCAGCACATCTGGCTGAGTGGTCACTGGAGAACAAAAGGAATAATAGCAACTAAAAGGAGGCTAAAAAGTAGAGTGTGGGGCAGACCGTGGCCTGCCTCACAATTCAACAGCAAGGAGTTTGAACCTGACACTGGAAACAACAGGGAACCATGGGAAGTTCTAAAACAGAAGTAGAATCTGAGTAGTGTTTAAAACAGATCAGGGCGCATGGCTGGCTAAGCCGGTAGAGCATCCGCCTCTTGATCTCAGGGTCATGAGCTCCAGCCCCACATTGGGCGTGAAGCCTACTTAAAAAATAAAAAATAAAACATAACCAGTGTCAAACGGGTAAAGAGAAAACTAGAAGCCACACGACCTATTAAAGAGGCGTACAATAATGGGAAGGAGAGAACTCTACATGGAGCTGCCAAGCACTATATAGAGAGTCCTCTAGAGAGAGCATACCTAAGGAGTTCTTCCAAAGAACAGCATTTTCAGTTCAAGTAAATTTCCTATTTCTAAATTCCCATGGGCCGCAGCTACCCAGTTTGAAATACTGAGTCATAAACGCTGTTCAGAGAACCTGTATTAGGGAAAGCATGAGAATTGCAAGGCCAGGAGCCATTTCTTATAAGACTTTGTATCCCCCAAACCTGCCAGAGACCTGGACCACAGTGGTGCTCCGTACACATTTGTTGGAGGACTCCTGTATTAAAGCAAAGATGAGTTTAAATATTGATACTATTTTAACCTCCCCAGTTAGAAAGCCTCATACCTGTCTTAGATTTTTCTATAGTCACTCTACGCCACGCATCAACTATTCTGCTCCAGAAAATACGGGCACCATAACTTTCTTGGTTCTACGTGAAATCACTATCAGGGACTACAGTGACATTACCATTTCTGTGAAAGATAAAGGGTATGGGAATGAATGGACTCGGGAAAATGGTGGCTATCAATGGAAAAGACATACTCTTTGGACATGAGTCACCGGGATTAAGATCTTTAGTGAATCTAACAGGTTTCAGGTTGTATCTAAACAAAAACTTCCAACTCTGTTGAGATGAATGACCCAAGGAAGGTGAGCTGATGGAAACCTTTAAGGACAGTCATAATTAACCTATCCATCCCTGATGGTTTCACGTAACCCTGTGTGAAGGGAGGCATGTAGCAAAGGACTTTCAGGATCCTTGCAAGCCCTAGTACCTTGCTGTAGGTTAGGTCTTAAAACTCTGGGAGGCATGTAAAGTAGTTTGAAAGAACTAAGGCTGTGGTGTCAAATTGCCTAGTTTCAAATCTCAACTCCACCTCAAACTACCTTTGTGCAGTTATTCAATCTATGCTTGCTTCCTCCTCTGACGGTATGGAGAACAGTATGATCTAGCCCATAAGGTTGTTTTGAGGACGAGATAATACATGTAAAGCACACAGCACAGCCTGAAATGTGGTATTAGGTTGAGCCACACGGAATAAGTGCTCGAAAATATTTGTTGTTAAAATGACCCAGGCTAGGGGCGCCTGGGTGGCGCAGTCGGTTAAGCGTCGGACTTCAGCCAGGTCACGATCTCGCAGTCCGTGAGTTCGAGCCCCGCGTCAGGCTCTGAGCTGATGGCTCAGAGCCTGGAGCCTGTTTCCGATTCTGTGTCTCCCTCTCTCTCTCTGCCCCTCCCCCGTTCATGTTCTGTCTCTCTCTGTCCCAAAAATAAGTAAACGTTTAAAAAAAAAAAAAAAAGACCCAGGCTAGGTCTTTGTTCTGCCAGGGTACCCTGCCGGTGGGGAGGGGGGAGAGTGAAAACGAGTGTTCTCTTAATAGGATATTCCTGTTAATAGGGCAGTCTGAATAATGGGATCTGTTAATGTTTACTGAACACTGACTAAGCCAAATGAATTGTTAAAGGTGTGCCACCCCTGAACTTAGGAGAAAGGCTACACCCCACTAACCTTCCGAACCATCTCCTGGGCTGCCAAAACTGCCTCCCTCCGAACAAAAGCCCCTCTTCCCAGGTTCACTTAACAAATGTGTGAGTTCCCCATATGTGCCTCAGCAAGAGTGCTTCCAGCGGTGCAGATGGGGGGGAATGACTGATTGGAGGAGGTCAAGAGAGTTGGAGGGCCCGCCCGTGTGGCAGGAAAACGCCTTCTCCAGTAGTTTACCTAAAAAGGGCAAGAGAAACGTGACGGCTGTTGGAAGGAGGTGTGCGGCGATGTTTTGTGTCTCTGTCGCAGGGATGCCAGCACATGTGTAGGCCGTTAGGAATGAGAAAGGGCATCATTACAAGGAAGCCTGGGTGGCTCACAGTTGTGCGGAGAAAGGGCATCATTACAGGAGACACGACCAAGCGGGTGAAGCGGGCACGGGACGAGCTTGCGAGGAGCTGGCCTTAAATGAGGATACTTGGATCCCCCGGGTCCCACCGTAAAACACAAGGTTATCAAGAAGATACGATAAGAGGTTAAAGAGAAAACGTAAACTCCCCCGCCGCGGCGCTCAGGGACGAAAAGCAACTCACACTCCCAGCCAGCACGTCCCCCGAGAAGACGAACTTTGCGCGTGCGTAGTGCGCGCACGTCGCGTCGACCCGAGGCGCTCTCGCGAGAAGAGCCGTGCAGGCTGGGAAAAATGGCGCCTCCCAGCCCCCGGGAGCCCAAGGCCCAGTCGGCCACTAGCGCGGCCAAAACCGACGGGGAGATGGTGCTTCCGGGCTTCCCGGACGCGGACAGCTTCGTGAAGGTAAGTTTGCTGTGCCTCTGGGGCATCGGGAGCCGCCCGAAGTCGGCCAGAGGTAGGCCCGGATCCAGTCG